AGGAGGGGAGAGACTTCCATGTAGAACAGCACGTGCAAAGGTGATCAGTGAGGGGGCACGTGGGGGAATGCGGCAGGACCGGTGGGCTTTGCCTCTGCCGGCAGCAGGGCTGCGGGAGGGCCTCTCGCAGAGGAAGGGCGAGTTGTGGCCTAAAAATCTCCTGTCCGGCTCCGCCCTTGATCCCGGGTCAATCCCCGGAACTGTCAGCCTTCAGGCTGAGGGCAGGGCCAGGGGCTGCAGCTGGGTTGCAGACTTGAGTGGCTGCAGGTGGATTCCAACTGTACATGAGGACTTCCGGAACATTCGGAGAGCCTGGGTGGGGGAAATTGCTGTGCTCTGGAGAATGCCAATGGGGTCGGGGGAGTGGGGATGAGAGGGTGCAGATTCTGGGCACATCTGCACGTGGCATCTCCATATGCTCCCTGCAGGGATGGGCTCCATGCCCAGGTCGTTGGCATCCCTGGCTCCATTTTTTTGCCAGTGGAGGGACAGGTGTCTTCCAAAACTGGAAAACACTCTCCCAAAACAAACCAACAAAGTCTGCTTTTCTGTTTCCTTGTCCCGACAGATCTTCTGTGAACCGTCTTCTTTCTTGCAAAATACCTCAAACTGGCTTAGCTGATGGTAAAGCCGCCACACGCACGCCGCTCAGAACCTTTCCAGAGGGAGAGAAAAGGCTCTTTGTTCCCCACCCCAGGGCAGTCCCAGGATTTTCTGTCTGTCTGCACAGACAACAGCGATACACCTAGGCACCGGGGTGGTTTCTTCCCACACAGTTTTGCAATGGGCTTTTTTCCACTTGACAATAGAGGGCCCCGCAGCTTTTATTTCCAGAAATTGGAAAATGAAGCGTGTCTGGCCCCCGCCTCCTCACCCACCACAGGTTGAAATTTAAGCCACATGAACCCAGCGGGGACCCAGTGCCAGGGGCAGGCAGACCCCAACATGAAGAAAGCTGGGGAGAGGTGGGGGATCCCAGGAGTGCCAGATTTCTGTCACTCTGTCCTTGCCTCCTGCTCCCTCCCCACGAGGCAGTCACCAGCACCCCGACAGAGGCCCAGAGAGGGCCAAGGGTCAGGCCCCTGGGTTTCCAGCCCCTACTCACAATTCTGCCCCCAGAGGCCGGGTACAGAGGCCCCGGAGCACTTGTGGCCAGAGGATCTGCGTGCTCCAGGCCCCTGAAGAGAGTAGAGCGCCCACGTGGGCTCCATTGTGCAGTTGAGATGCATGAGGCCCAGAGCCCTCCAGGCAAGTCCATTTCTCTGAGGCACTTGTAAATCACACACTGTGAGGTCAGCCAACATGCCCAGCCCCACCACTGAGGGGCTGCAGGTGGATTCTAATGTTGAATGAGGACTCCGGAAACATTCCAGAACGTGCTGGGGTCGGGGAAAGTTCTGCTTCCTGGAGAATGCCCAAGGGAGACTGAGGTTTTTTGCGGGGGTGGAGGTGAATGCCAGGTAGTCCCTGAGCCTCAGTTTCCCTGTCTGAACAGTGGACAGGCAGGGATCATCTTGATGCCTTTGACTAAGTCTGGGGCACAGCGCTTGTGGATGTGGAGGGCCTGGAGTGGCTCTGCCAAGCCTGCCAGGGATCCCAGGCCCAAGCCCGCCTCGCTGGGTCCATCGCTCACCTGCCACCCACACCACGCACCTGGGGCTGCTCTCTGCATCGGCTGGCTGCAAGCCAGGGGGCCTGGGAGGCCAGGCCAGGGCTTCCTTGCAGGCTGGGGCAGGGCTGGGGGTGCAGGGCAGGGCAGGGTGCAGCCTAAAGCCACTTCATCCCTGTTGTCCTAACCTCCAACTGAACAGATGTCTGAGAGCTGAGCATCTCCCTCTCTTGGAAGTGTCTCTGAGGCTCAGAGGGGTTGGGAACCCTCCTTAGTCCCCAGCCACCCGGGCCAAACTCAGGAGATGCCAGGGTGCCCATCACCCCCAAGCTCCATCCCCACCCCGCACCCATCCCCCCGCTGCATTCCCGTGTGCCCAGATCACACGCATGGTTCATTTGTCGCCCATCCCTGGCCAGGGCCCCCTGCCCCCCTCCTGAGCTGCCAGCGCCCCTTGGCTCACAGCCCTGAGGCCCCAGTGGAATGCGATTCCCAGCGAGTTGGCTGCTCTGTTGCTCCTGGCAAGGCCCTGGGGCACCAGATGCAGGCAGTGTCCAGCAAGGGGGCACAGGTGGCCCTGCTTCCCTTCCACACTGGTCCCAGCTCCTCCTGGGCTTGAGAGAGGGGTTCCCCAGGGCCCCCGACTGTGGAACGGGAACCAGCCCCTTTCCAGGGAGGCCCACCTGGCTTCAGTCAGACAAGCCTGACTCAGGGTCGGGAGATCCTCAGATCAGACAGCAAATTCAGGATGGTCGTGAGTGGAGGGGCAAGAGGTCCCCTGACCCCTGAAGGCTGGACCTCAGGTGCTGGCGTTTGGTCCAGCTTCACATCCTAAGGCCAGTAGGCAGGGGTTCAAATCCCAGGCCACCACCCCCACCACACCCCACCTAACTTCCCAGCTGTGAAATAGGCAATGAAAATGTCCATAAAATCTGAAATAAAATTGTAGACAAAATGGGTGGTTTGAGGCCATAAAACTAAATAATGGGAGGTACAGTGGCCGGAGGTCTCCTAGAGGCGGCGGCCCTCTGAGCAGGAAGGGATTAGGGTGAGGTTGGCTCTGCGTGGAGGGAACAGGCTGGAAGGGTGTGGGGAAGGACTCAAGGTGTGCCTGCGGCTTCTAGGAACGTAGTCAGGACCGTGGGTGGGCGAGAGGTGACTGACCCCCACCAGGTCCTGGCTACACCCGCGGGTTTCCCTTCCCAGCCCTGTGGAGCCATGGGGCTCAGAGGATGTGGGCACACAGGGTACCGTGACCGGGAGCCCCTAGGCCCCCAAAACCCTGGTCACCAGCTTCCCCTTCTCTGTGGCTGGGGCTCAGCCTGGCTGCAGTCACTGACTCCAGGCATGCCCCCAGCCCCTGGTGCCCCATGGGGTTGAGTTCAGGCCACCGCAGGCCTGCGGGAGGCTCGGGCAGCCTGGGTTCCAGGTTTGGGGTATGGAAAAATCCCCGTCAGCCTGGCCGTCCCTGCTGCAGTCTACAGCCCAGCTGTGACCTGGTGGCGGATGGCTAGAGTCCCCAAGGACCACAGAGGCCTTGGGGTCCTGAGGGGCAGTTGTGGGGGGACCCCCTATGCATAGCACCATGCCTGTGGCCACATGGTGACTAGTGGGTCTGAGCCGGAGGGTCCAGGGGAAGGTGGGAGATGGCGGCCTGGGGCCTCCCTCTGGCTGCCACCCCAGCCCAGCAGGAGCTCTGGGCGCCGTAAAGCGGGGTTGAAGAGCACCTCCTTCCACAGCCTGGGGCCTCCCGGTCAGGAAGGCCCTCTCTGGAGACCTAACAGTGACTCCCCGTGGCCCCAGCACAAGCCCAGTGTTACAGAAGGAAACTGAGGCGCGGAGAAGGGCTGTCCCTCGTCCCAGGTCCCTCCATGTGTAAAAGGACCCGGATCCCGACCCAGCACACTCGCAGCCATAGTCTGCCAAACTCTGACCCCAAGCCTGGAATAGGCAGAGCCCTGTGGCCCTCCCCCAGAGACCCACCTTGGGGTTTTAAATCCTTGAACTACAACCTGATTTCTTACTCTCTCTTCGTGGTCCTTTCAGCTTTTCTGTCCTCACAGAGCCATCATCCCAGCGGAGGAAGTGACACAGCTATGATGGGGGACGCAGGCAGCTTTGGGAACCAGAGAAGGGATCTGGTCCAGCTGAGAGGGCAGGGGAGGCATCCAGGGAGGATCCCTGGAGGAGGCATTTCCACTGAGCCCTGCAGGATGAGTGAGGATCACCAAGGTGGCAGGGGGCAAAGAGTGGTCCTGGCGGGGCAGCTCGTGCAGCTGGAGACCCTTAGTATGCTTGAAAGCCCCAGTGACTTTGGCAGGGGATGCCTCCTGCCTAGACCTTATTTTCTGCTTATCAGCAGCAGAATGGCTATGAGAAGACTGAAGACTTGCCACGGCCCAGGACACGGTGAGGTCGAGACTGACAGCTCCATGGTGACACAGGCTGGGCCATGGGCCCCCACCCACCTGCAGCAGCCTTTTCAGCCCTGGCCTCCCTGCCTCCACTCTGCCTCCAGTAGCCTGCCCCCCACTGGGTAACCTGCGAGAGCATCTCAGCACAGGAGTCGAGGAGGTGACTGTTCTCTGCGAAGTCTCGCATGGCTCCGTGTCGCCCTCATGCTAAATCCTCCATCACTGACCACAGCTGGACCGCCTGAAGGTGCCTGGCCTCAGCACCACTTCTGACCTCATTTCCTGCTCACCAAGACCCAGCCTCCCTGAATTGCCTCCATTCCTTGCTGCCTCAGGGCCTTTGCACTGGCTGGCCCCTCTGCTTGGAGAGCTCTTTCTTCCTTTTTCCTTACAGAACTTTTACAGGGCTTGAGCTCAGACATCCGGGAACTCCGAGGCCTTCTCACTTTCCGCAAGTTATGACTTTATGTTCACACCTGAGTTCTGAGTTCCCTGTCTGTGTGTTCTGTCGCACCCACCTGCTCCCTGGAGCCTGGCATGTAGCAGGAACTCAAGAAATGTGTGTTGACTGATTGCCTGAAGGAGGGAGTGGGGTCTGGTGGGTGTGGAGGTGGGAAGCTTGAGACTCTTCTCACCTGGTGCTCTCCACCCTCCAAGAACCCCAGGTGCATTTCCCCATGGAACCCATGTTGAGAACCAGCCGTTCACATCTGCCTTTTCACTTTATGGGTGGGCCAGCAATTGCCCCAAACTACACCAACCTGAAGGCTGTGTGCGACACCACGTCGCACGTGTGTCGGTAGGCGGACACGGAGGGTACGGAGGGTGGCGACTCCAATCCACAACTTCTTGCACCACCCCATTGGGTCTTCGAGATCAGGGACTCCCACATGTTGCTATTGGATGGTGACCTGGCTCCTGGGACAGAACACCCTAGGTCACCTGATGGCAGGGGTGGGGCTGGACCAACCAAGCCTCAGCTACAGGTACATTTCCTTTTCCTTCCTTATCTACGCCCTTGGGAGGCCAGCCGTACCTCCGTTCTAAACCTCCTGGTCAGTTGTTTGCTGCCCGACACGCCGCAGCCTCCAGGTAAGGCCTCTGGGGCCAAATTTCCCCCCACTCCCCAGAAGGCACCGATGCCTCCTGAGAAAGGCCTCCTGGCCGCTTTCTGGGTACCGGGTGGACCAAAAGAGAATCTGGGTGAGGAAGTCCAGATGGGTGTGCCTGGCCGGGAGTGCCCAGCGCTGCTCTCCCTGTGGCGACGTCCTGGAGTAGAAACCCCACTGTTTCCCGGCCTCTCAGCGCCAAGGACCCTTCGCCTCTCTCTGCCTCTGTCTGGTGGGAAATGAGGACATGAGTGGCTTGGGTTTGGGTTTTCCAGACCTTTGTGGTGCCCCAACACGGTGGCATTTTTCTGTCCTTTTCTAGGAAAACATATCTTGGGTTCCCGTTGGGTGGGCTCCCATCACGCATCCCCCAGCCGGTGCTCCTCCAGGCCACTGCCAAGGAACCTCTGTGTCTCCTGAGAGAGGCTGCCAGAAACACAGGCTGATATCAAAAGGAAAGAACAAACTGTGTTGGTTTTAACTATATTTCTGTGGATTACTCTTTGGTGTGTGGCCAAAAAAGTCCTAAGTGTAAAGTAGCATGTGGTCAAAGTCCACTCGTGCCTCACCCTGGGCTGTGTCGTCCCTGAGGGCCTGGCTTGGCCTGAGTCCCCGCACTGCCACCTACCAGGCCCTGCACTCTGCCCGACCCAACGAGCCTGCCAGCCTCGAACAGCGTTCTGTCAAACAGCTCCATCGAGATGTAATCCACCTTCCACACCAATCACCCACTTACAGTGTACGGCTCAATGACTTTTGCGATTTCATGATTTTTAAAACCGTGGCTATACATACACATACACATATAATTTGCTGTTCTACCTGTTTTTTTCTTGAAGTATAGTTGACAGACAATAGTATCCTGGTTTCAGGTGTCCAACCTAGTGATTCCACAATTATATACATTGCTGATGCGCACCACTGTAACTGTGGTTACCGTCACCACGCAAAGATATTAGTGTTATGGGCTATATTCTCTATTCTGTCCTTCCCTCCCTGTGACTAATTTATCTTTTAATTGGAATTTTGTACCTCTTTGTCCCCTTCACCTGTTTCACCAATCCCCCCATCTGCCTTGTTTTAACCACGTTTTAACCACACAGCTCGACGGTATTAAGTACATTTACAATGCTGTGCAACCAGCCCCACCATCCAGCTCCGAAACTCTTTCATCAACAGAAGCTCTGAACTCAGTAAGCAAGAATTCCCCATCCCCCTTCCACCCCGCCCCAGCGCCTGGTAACCTCTGGCCCACTTTCTGTCTCTGGATGTGGCCCCTCTGGGGACCTCCTGGGAGTGGGATCAGACCGGATCAGTTGTTCTGTGTCTGGCTTATTTCACTAAGCACCGCGTCCTCAAGGTCCAGCCACTTTGTAGCAGGTGTCAGACCGTCCTTCCTTGTTAAGGCTGGATAATATGCAGTGTGTGGACGGACCACATTGTGTGTATCCACCCATCCATGGACACTGGGGTTGTTTCCACTTTTTTGGCTGCTGTGAATCACACTGCTGTGAACATGACTTTACAAATATCTGTTGAAATCCCTGCTTTTAATTCCTTTGGGTGGATATCTAGCAGTGGCATTGCTGGGCAATATAGTAGTTTAGTTTTCTGAGAAATCGCCAAACCATTTTCTGCCACATGCACTTTTGGATTTTCTAGCGGCCTTTCTCGTCTTGGAATAGAAAGACACCAGGAAAATTAATTTTAATGATGTATTTTATTTCACCCAATCCATCCAAAGCATTATCTCAATATATGATTGAAATGGAAAATTATTAATGAGGTATTTTACGTTCTTTCTTCCTGCAGTCTTGCCAATCTGGCATGTGTTTTACATTTTGAGCACATCTCTATTGGGCCACTACATTTTCAACAGCTGCAGTGAAATGGGATCCTATTCAAAAAGTTGTATTTAATTAAAACAAAAATTTTTATGCTGATCCATTTTTAAGTTCACATTTGAAATTTCGTAACTCTTACAACTTCAGTTTCTCTGTTGTGTCAGCTACGTGTGTCGGCTAGTTCGCTCCCACATTGGACACAGTGCACGCTCGGATCAAACTATTAAATTCTGGAAACTGTTTTGTATCCGGCAGAGGCAGATGGACCACGCAGCAGACGAAGCTTAAGCTTCTGGGCCCCCTTGATCAAGATCTGCCTTTGCTCCTCTAAGTCCAGACGCATAATTTTATTTACTGTTTCTTAGGCTCCTGAATTTCCAGCTTCCGGAGACCCTGGACACAGTGGCTTTACTCATTTCCCCAGCTGTGTGGCCCACTGTGGTAGGCAGGGCCCTGATTCGACCAGCCCCACGCCACCGCACAAGTAGCTTGGCCAAATGACCCTCGTAGGCACGTCTTTAGGCATTCAAGCCAACTCACTGGTCAGAAGGCGGGTGCATTGTAAATCATGATTCATCATTACTACAGCGCCTTTCTGGGAAATCCTAGAGCGGCACATGCTGTCCAATAGACATGTCACACAAGCCACATGTGCAGCTACTATTTTTCTAGTAGCCACTTTTTTAAAAATGTCAAAGACACAGATTGGTCCAAGTTAGCCTTATTTCAATGTGTAATCAATATAAAAATGATCGAGATGTTCTCCATTCTCTTTTTCATCCTAAATCTTGGAAAGCCAGTGTGTAATCCTTATTTGGACATTCCGTCTAGGTCATGGATAGTTGACCGGTATGCAGACTCCATAAAATGTGTGCAAAGAAGAAGCCACTTAGCATATCCAGGATGCCCCGGATGCGCTCGGGAGGTTTCCAGTCACCGAGCTGAGTCTCAGGGGTTGTTTTGGGTTGTTTCTTGCTTTTTATTTTGAAGTCGTTTTCAGAAAAAGTGTCAGTTTACCAAGGAGAGTCTCTGTTTTTAAATTTAAATTCCATTAAAAACAGCCACGTTTGGAGGACTCCATAGGCCCAGGGGAGCAGTGGTGGTGCACACATAGAACCTTCCAGGACGACAGGAAGCTCTAGTGGAGACGGGCCGTAGATCGGAGCCCCACCTGCAGAGTGGGCAGTTCGGGGCTACGTCACGGGGCAGACCTTTGGTTGTGGATCCTAACGGCTCTAGCTGTGTGTACTTGGTCGAGAGACGTACGTGTCCCTCTAACCCTCAGTTTCTTCTTGTGTAAAATGGGAGACTCCAGGGCAGCAGGGTGTGGAGAGGGGAAGAGGCAAAGCCCCAGAGTTCTGCCCCAGTGGTTGGGGTCTGGGAGGACTTTGTGACCACTTGCAGGGGCAGGAAAGACCCAGGAATGGAAAGAATTCCGCCAGGAGATGCCCAGGATCACCCAGTGTGGGACCAGAAGGGCTGCCTTTGAGCACCTATCATAGACAGAAAATCAAGTTCACACTGGCATCCCTAACCACTCTGTTTGCTCTCCCGGCACACCAGCCAGGCCCGTTTTCACCTCCAGGCCTCAGTATTGGCAGTTTCTTCCCCTAGGCATGCCTTTCCCCCAACTCCTACTCTACCCAGTGAACTCTTACAGAACCTTCAAAACTCAATCCCATGTATCCCTCCCAGACGGAGCCCCAGACTCAAGACTCACCTTCAGGGCCCTGGGAGCATCTTGTAAGCAGCTTTGTCCTCTCTCTGGACTGGGGAGGAGTGGGAAAGTTGGGAAAGGGGCAGGGTCAAGGTGGGAACCTCAGAGCGGTTGGGACCGATCGTGCCTTCCCTGAGGACCCCTCCCCAGGTAGAGAGGTCGTGTTGCCTAGTGGCTGGGAGGAGATGGACTCTGGGGCCAGACTCTCTTTGCTGGAATTCCAGATTTGCCCGTTTCTGGCCGAGTCTCCTGGCCTCGGCTTTCCCATCTGAAAATAGGAATCACATTAGTGCCAATCTCAGCACTTGTGACTATTGGCTTTGGTAGCTGGTGGTCGCCACCCCCACCAGGATGTGGGTTAATATTCTGTGATCAGTGACGCTGTCTCCACTCTCCCCCACCCCCAGCTGCTCCTCCCCATGGATTTGCTCAGCTGGGCCAAGATAAGGAGCTCCTGGCACCATTATCTCCCCAGCCTGTTGCTGCAGCTGCTTTTGGCCCTGTGTTTCTTCTCCTACCTGCGTGTGTCCCAAGACAAGTCCATATGGTCCCCTAAGTTGGAGCCCACAGCCGGGGAACCTCTCACCCCCAGGCCCAATGGGTCGGCAGGGCAGGCGTCCCCCGCCCGCCCGCCCCTGCTGCTCCTGCTATGGACTTGGCCTTTCCACAGCCCCGTAGAGCTGTCCAGCTGCTCGAAGATGTGGCCTGGCACGCCCGACTGCCAGCTGACTGCCAATCGCAAAGCGTACCCTCGGGCGGATGCCGTCCTCGTGCACCACCGGGAGGTCAGCTCCAGGCCGAGGGCGCAGCTCCCGCCCTCCCCGCGGCCGCCCGGCCAGCGCTGGGTCTGGTACAGCATGGAGTCGCCCAGCCACTGCCCACAGCTGAAGGCCCTGGACGGCTTCTTCAACCTCACCATGTCCTACCGCCGAGACTCGGATGTCTTCACGCCATACGGCTGGCTCGAGCCATGGCCCGGCCAGCCGGCCAACACGGCGGTCAACCTCTCGGCCAAGACGGAGCTGGTGGCCTGGGTGGTGTCCAACTGGAGGGCAGACTCCGTCAGGGTGCAGTACTACCAAAAGCTGCAGGCTCACGTCAGGGTGGATGTGTACGGGCGCGGCCACAAGCCTCTGCCCTCGGCGGTCATGATGGAGCGGCTGGCCCAGTACAAGTTTTACCTGGCTTTCGAGAACTCTCTGCATCCCGACTACATCACAGAGAAGCTGTGGAAGAATGCCCTGCGGGCCGGGGCCGTGCCTGTGGTGCTGGGCCCCAGCAGGAGCAACTACGAGCAGTTCCTGCCGCCCGATGCCTTCATCCACGTGGACGACTTCCAGAGCCCCAGGGACCTGGCCCAGTATCTGCTGGCGCTGGACCAGGACGATGCCCGCTACCTGAGCTACTTCCGCTGGCGGGAGACACTGCGGCCTCAGTCCTTCAGCTGGGCCCTGATGTACTGCAAGGCCTGCTGGCGGCTGCAGCAGGAGTCCAGCTACCAGACAGTGCCCAGCATAGCCTCTTGGTTCACATGAGCCTCCAGCCGAGGGGCCGGCCTGCCGGGATCTCACCGGCTGGGCATCTTAGCTGCTGCAGATCTCACTTGCCTGAGACTTCACCTACCAGGTGCTTCTGCTGCCAGAAATCTGGGCCCCAGGGACTTCACCTGTCAGGGGTCTTACCTGGTGGGGGGGAGCAGGTGTGTCACCTGCTTGAGGTGGGGTGTGGGGTCACCTGCTGGGGACCTCACCCACCAAGGCCCTCAACCCCTAGGGGACTGGTCTAGGGTCCTGCCTGTTGGTGATGATTCTGGCGTATTTCCTAACTGCCTGTTGGGTGTGCAGGGAAGCAATCCCTGCACCTTTTTCTCAGAAGGGAATGCTCCGAGGTAAACTGATGTGTCTGCCTCCTTTACTCCAGAACAGCGGTTCTTGCCCCAGGGTGGCACTGCCCCCTTGGGGACACTCAGCAATGTCTGGGGACATTTGTGGCTGTCATGGCCGGGAGTGGGCTGATAGCATCAAGTGGGTAGGGGGCCAGGAATTCTGCTCAATAACCCACAGTGCTCAACAAGGGTCAGCATGGGGCAGGGCTGGGACCTGAGGAAGGGCAGGGACATCCTCAAAGGAGGGAGAGGGGGGAGAGTGTGCTGCTGTGTGTGTGGCCACCAATGACCATGCAGGCTTGGAGTGTGACTGTCCTGTGGGTGTGCATGGCTGGGTGTGAGCAAATGCGTGACCGTGTGTTTTTGCAGATGAGTGGTGACATTGAGTGTGCCCCCTGTGTGTGCTATTCTGAGCATGAGTGATGGCTAGGGTGTAAGCATGTGGGCCATGAGTGTGCATGTGATCCTCCCTGCTAACCCCATGTGGGTGGCAGTCTCTGCTCTGTGAGAGTGTGTGTGCGTGTGTGTGGCATGCACTACCAAGAACCCCAGCCCCGAGGGGTCTGCGGGGCAGCTCTGTTTATGTTCCAATTCTCTGGGGGGCTGGGCCAGTGCCCTGTGGTGGGGATACTTGATCAGGGTGGGAGACGGGCAGGCCGACGTCCCAGGAGGCTCTGGGAGAGTGTGCGCGGGTGCACACACACACACACACACACACACACACACTCACACTCACTCACTCACTCACTCACCCACTCACTCCCCAGCACACCAAGACAGCCAGGGTTCAGAGGTCACAGTCCAGGGCTCCAAGGCCAATTTTCCCACCGTGTGTCCTGGGCTAAGCAACTTCCCTCTCTGAGGCTCAGGGCCACCGAGAATGGGGAAACTGAGGCTCAGCTTCCACAGTGTCTGAGAACTCCGACCTCTCCGCACAGCTTGGCTGAGTCAGCCCAAACGCGGGAGGAATCCACCACCCCAAACCTCAGTCAGAAGACTGCGGGGGCGGGTGGGAACCCCAGCCAGCCTCAGCCCTGACACTGCCTTCCAGCGGACCACCCACAGGGACAAGCCCCGCTCTCGCTCTCGGGGCTCCCTGGAAGTTTTGCCTGCTAGCTGCCTCCTGTCCCCAGCTGCGGCAGGAGGGCCTGGGGAGAAGGGAGATTGGGAAGTTTCTGCCGTCTGGGGACGGGGCGATCCTCTCTGGGGGCCGCCTCTGATTGGAGCCCTCCGGCTTCGGGATGGGAATGCTCGTGGTAAGGTCGGGGTGCTTAGAACTTGGTCCTGAGCTCAGATGTGGGGGGAGGACGGGAGGGGGCCAGAATAGAACAGCAAAGGAGGGAAGGGGCCGTACCCTCGGGAGAGCTAGTCTGGCGGGGCGGGGGGGGAGGGGAGGAGAGGGGGCCACGCCCTCAGGAAAACCGTCTGGGGATAGGGCGGTCGCGCCCTCAAGAACCCCGCAGTTGGACAGGAGGGCGGGGTCCACACCCTCTGGTCTCCGGGGGCGCCCCCGCCCCCTCGCCTGCCCATCTTCAGACCCACGGACCCCTCCCGGCGCTCTGAGAACGCAGCACCCTGAGCTGTCCGGGGCCTGCCAAGCATCAAGGTGACACCGCGGGCAAATCTAAACACCGAGCTTTTTCCATTCCCGCGGGGGCTCGTTGTAAATCCCCTCTCCAGCTCCGGCTGGAGCCTTTATGGGCCCCAGACCTAGGTCCCTGGGGACCCCGCTGCCCGCCCCACCCCAGTAGGCGCCGGTTTAAGGTTGGACGGAGTTGGCGCGCACCCCAGACCTATCCCCACAGGAAGATAGGCTGTGCGCGTATATTTTTAGCTAATGAAAGGAGATAGTGGCTGAGTTCACTCTGGCGGAGGCCGGCTGGACCTGAGGAGGCCCGTAGGGTGAGGGAGGCCTGGGTCCACTTAGACCTCAGTCTCCTCACCTGCAGTGACTGACTTCATGTAGCTCCGGGGCGGAAGTGTCCCACACGTCACCTCCCTCCACCAACCTCAATTCTCCCCCATTTTTCCCCCAGGGAGCACACATCGTAGGGAAGGTGGTGTTGGGGACCAGATGGGGAGATTGGGTCCACCTGGAAATCAGTCTTCTCATTGGCGCGGTGGCTCCGCCTTCCCCGGCCAGAAGCACACCGAGCGGGGAGGTGCGGATGGGACAAGCTGCCAAGGAGGGGCACAGGGACCCGCAGGGAGGTGGGAAGGTCGGTCCCTGCCAACACTGACCCACTTTCCTTTTTACACCCCGGAAACAGGACCCTCTTTCCATCTATTTCCTTTTCCCCCAAAGCAAACGGAATGCTCCCGCTCTCACGCAGGTGATGCACACGGTCATCTTTTCCCTGCGGAGTTGGGACCTACTCCGCACACGCCCCGCTACCCCGAAGCGCGTAATCACCAATCGGGCTCGGTTTTCCACACTTTATCTCAGTACAGTTATCGCGAGAGCCCCGAGACCTCGACTGCATCTCCTGCGCATGAGCAGTCCGCTGGGGGGTCTTGCCAGGCGGGACGGTGGACGCCGTCGGGGCTGGAGCGTAGCCGCCGTCTCGCCGGGCCGGTGAGGTAGTGTCACACGCAGGCGCACTCGCGCGCCGACAGCTCGCGCACCGTGTGGTAGCGGCTGTGAGCGTCCAGGAAGGACACCTCGTCCTCGTAGGCCGTCGGGCGGCAGCAGGGCTGCGCGCGTACCCGCTCCCGCCGCACGCGCCGCCGCTGGCGCAGGCGCCGCAGCCCCAGGTCGTAGATGCGCGCGGCCGCCTCACAAGCGCCTGCGCAATAGCGGAACAGCACCGTCTCGTCCGACGCGTAGCCCAGGCCCAGCTCACTCACGCGCACCTCGAGCTCGCGCAGCCCACACGGCCGCGTGCCCGACCGCGCACGCGCGCGCCGCCGCCGGGACCCCGCTCGACGGCGCGGACCAGGGGACCGCCCGGCCCAGGGCGTCAGCTCACGCAGCTCCACCGCGTCCGGGGCGCCCTGCAGCAGTGCACGGTCTGCGAGGGGAGAGAGAGAAGACGGCAGGGGGTCAGTGGGAGCCTCCCCCACCCTCACTGTCCCCCTGCCAAAAAGGATCCTTGCAGGGCCCCTTGGGCGCTAGCACACCCTTTTGCTGACCTGTTTGTTATCTCACTCCCATATGCCCTGCCCAGGCGCCTCTGGGTGATGTGGGAGTGCATCTCCAGACGCCCACGCTGGGCCCGCAGGGCTATCAGCACCGTTCTCTGGACCCTACCCCTATGATGGACTGCCCAGAACCTGGCTCATCCTTTTTGGGGGCCCTAGATCACTTTCCAGCCTGCCTTACCTTGAGAGCCAAACTGACCCGGGTGTCTCTCTCTCACACACACACACACGCTCACACACACACACACACACACGCTCTCCCTGCCAGCACGCAGTGGACCCCATCTCTGCACAGGGCTGTGCTGGAGATTGTTCTCTGCACTGAGCTGCTTCAACCCCTTTGCAGCAAAGAAAGGGAGTACTCAGCAGGGTGTGTGGTGCTACAAATCCCGGTCCCGGCTTGGCCCCCAGCTGCCCCTACCCGTATGCTGGGCTGCCCCAGGGTACCGGCACACCCTTTCTGAGCAGTGTCAGGGGACTGCTTGCCATGCCCCAATTCCTCACCCTTTGGTTAGGCTGTCATGGGTCTCTAGCTCATACTCTGGGGTCCCACCCAAACCCCTACATCTCTGAGCAACTGGACTGTTCACATACACCCACACCCCATCCCCACTGCTCCACGGTGCAGAGGGACTTAGTTCCTCACCCACAAAGCCAAATTGGGGTGTTTGGGCTTCTCAGAACATAGAGGGGCAGCAGGTACAGAGGCCTGCCTGCAAGGCCTCTGCAGCAGCTCTACCCATCGTCAGGGCCCACCCCCCTGTTACCGTTGAAGACACCAGACCTCCAAAACAGCAGGGACTGAAGACCGCACCACCAGCAGGTGGCAGAGAGAGACAAGCCCAAACAGCCTTCCTCCTGCCTCCAACAGGGGCCCTAGTTTGGCCTAAGGCCAGCCCTCTTCTCCAACCCTTGCCAGGAGGTGCCCCGAGTCACAGATTCCCAGGGCTCAGGAGCCTAAATGTAATTTCCAAGCGGCTGTCCCCGCCCGCAGGGATCCCCAGCCCCAGGAGAGACGTGCAGACGTTGGAATGGCCGGCAGCGCAGACCGGGAAATGGCAAGTAGGGGGCTCCCAGCCTCTGAGCAGTGGCAGTCAATCTTGTGGTTGCAAGAGGAAATCCTGAGTTTGGCCCCGCCTGCCCCCAAGGGTGGCACACCTGGATGTCAAAAGAAAGCTTACTGGGATGCCTGAAGGGGAGGGGCCGTCTATAGCCTTAGGAAGGGCCGTGCCCACAGGGGGTCCCAGCGAACCAACCCAGGTTCTGAGCCCAGCTCTGGCACTTTCAGCCCTGCACAACTTGAGACAGGTTATGGCCCTGCTCCGTGCCTCAGTTTCCCTGTCTGCCCAATAAGGCTTGCAGAGTCCCGGCCTTGGCTAGGGTTTGCAGGGGGGAAGGCGCGGGGGGCGGGGAGAGGGGGAGAGGTGCGACTGAGCAGCATGTCCTCAGTTCTTGAAGCCCAGAGGCAGGAATGGCCAGCACTGCTCTCGGTTAGGTTCCAGCGAAGCTCAGAGTGCCCACCCCAAAGGTGTGTATCTAGAGAGTTATTCTGGGGCTGGAACACAGAGAGATGAAATCCGCACCTGCCCCCCATCCCCAGCCTGAAGTCTCACCAGGGCCTGGAACACTGGGACTCTGTGGGATCAGGGACCACTCCCTTCCCCCAGTGGGGCTGGGCCAGGATGCAGGGCAGGCAGGCACCCGCCTGTGGACCGAAACCCTCCCTGGAGTCTGAAATTCCACTATGGGAGCTTTGCCCCCAGGTCCTGGAGCGCTAGCTTTTGGGGGCCCCACCCGGGTCTCTGGGACCCAGTGTCCTGAGGACTTCGCCGCCTGCAGCGGGGCACGGCGAGGGGCGGAAGTGGAGCCCGTGCCTGAGGCCACCGTTCTCCATTGTGAAGACAAGAAAGAAGGATTGTGTGGGCCAGCAGGGCTGACGACGACGCGCACGCAGCAACCACCGGCGGGTGCCGTGCACTTGCCCCACCCGCGCTTACACCGCGGCCGCCGGCGCGTGCGCACGCATGGACACGTGCGCGCACACGAGGTCAAGATCCACGCACCGCCCTCACCCAGTGGAACCTGAAAGGGGCAGGCGCCAGGGGCGAGTGGGGAGCTGGGCCTGGGTGACCACGCCCTCCTGGGTGGGCGTTACCATTTCTCTCCCGCCCCGCCTCTTTACGTCAGTCTGTCTCTGTTTCTCTTCCCATTTCTAGGTCTCTTCCCGTTTCTGGGTCTCTGTCTCCCTCTCCCCGTGGGTTCTGTCCACCCTCCAGGTGACTGGGGCCTTGGGCCCAGCCTCCTTCTCCTCCACCCCTCGCTGCGAAGCGGGGGCCGCCTGGGCCGAATGCCCACGTCTAATCTCCATCTGGCCCCCCGGCCCCTTAGGGCAGCAGCCTAATTCCTGCAGCGGGGCACGGCGAGGGGCGGAAGTGGAGCCCGTGCCTGAGGCCAGCCGAAAGACCCCCGCTCCCCGCAGGCATCCTCCCCCCGCCACCCCCGCCATGTCATTTGGGGGGATTTGCACCCTCCCTCCACCCCATCTAAAATAAGCCTCCGTGGCCTGTGCTGCACTGCACGAAATCCCACCATTACGGCTGCCCCAGTATGGGGGGTATGCGACCCCAGGCAGGAGGGAGGGCTTACACTGGGCCAAGCGGGCGATCCGGGCGTCCAGGGTGCGAGGCGGCCGGTGCAGGGGGGCCAGCGCGGGTCCAAGGCGGTGGCTGAGGAGCAGGCCGTCCCGACACATCCAGATGGAGAGCACAGAGCTGCAGAACACCGAGACCAAGGCCGCCGCCTTCCAGCGCTGCATCCTCGGCCTGCGGGCACGGAATGGTCGGCCACACGGCCTGTCAGGCAACAGACTGGCACGGGGCTGTGGGCCAGGTACAGGGAACCCAGTGGGACCCCTGATTCTGCTTAATAATCAGTAATAACAGAAATTTTTCCTCAAGGAGACGCTGAACAAGGTTGTGAAATATGCTGCCAAGGAGTGGGTAGGCTCTGTGCCAGGGGTAACCCGGAAACCACCCCCGTCTAAGGGTCCCAGAGTGCTTTCCTGAGGATTGAGGAAAATAGGGATTTGAACAAAGGTAGGAGTTTGCCAGGACAAAGAGAATGACACCTCAGGCAGGTGAACAGTCAGTGCAAAGGTCCTGAGGCCTGACCAAGCTTGGCAAATTCCGCTCGGAGGTGGCTTGGAGCCCAGTGAGCTGAGAAGAGTGGAAGGAGGTGGGAGCATCCCCAGCAGGGGGCACTGTGGGACTAGGGTGAGGAGGGAGACGGTACTTAGAACAGCCTAGGAGACGAGAACCCCGGGCTGAGATCTCTCCCTACCTATTGATGTCCTTGGGAGTGACTTCCTGCCCATCTCTGGGCCTGGGTTTCATCTCTAGATAAACTGATGCCCAGACGTGGGCAGCGAAGGACCAAAGCTGTCCCGACCCACGTCCAGGCCCTTGCACAAGCCGGTCCTTCCACCCTGAAAATTCTCTTCTCTCCCTCCGCACTGCTTAGTGACGGCTTGAAGGGCGCCTCTCCAGGGCAGCCTTCCCTAACTGCTCCTCCTCCAGGCCGGCCCTGGGCCCCCACAGCTTCCCCCATTACTCAGATTGCTAGTGTCGCGGCCGCCCAGCCGCGTCGTGTTCAGTGCACAGAGTAGGTGCTGAGTAACACACGGCGCCCCCTCCCCGTCCAAGCCGCGCCCCGCGCTGGGCGGCCCCCAGCCGGCGTTTACATTCGCCCGCCCGGCCGCCTGGGGTCGGTCAGCGCGGGGCTGGCGGCCGGCCCGGTGTAAACATTTAGACGAAGCGCAGAAAGCCGGGCGGGACGCGGGTCAGCCTGCGCTGGGCGGCGGGATGCGGGGCGCCCCCACGCCGACCGCGCAGGCCTCTGGCGCGCCCCCGCCCCTGCACCGCGCAGGGAGCAGTTCTTTCCGTGCCATTTGCATCTCTTCGGTTGTGACTTTCGGGCGTCGGACCCTGGATGGTTACCCTCGGCGAGTCCCCCACGCCCCCAACCGTGGATGCGCGGGAGAGGGACCTGCCCCCACCCAACAGTGAGTACGCGTTACATTTATTAAGCGCCTGCTGTGTACCAGACCCGTTGCTGAGCCCACGAAGGGGTCACTGTGTCTCCATTTTACATATGGGGAATCTGAGGCACAAAATAGGTAGGGGGATTGTAGATTAATAATACTAAAATAAATTTTTTAAAAAACTGGGAAGAAACCACCAAAAAAAAAAAAAATAGGTAGGGGATTGTCCGAGAGCACAGCTTGAAAGGGATCTGGGATTTGAGCTCGGGTTCTTGGGCCCCACACAGCCCCCTCGGGCTGGGCTTGGTTGCAAGTGCTGTGTACAGTCACCCGGAGGACTCGCTACTACTGGTGGTATTGCATGCGGCCACTTTTATTAGGGTTGGTGATGTGGATAGAACATAAGCTCCCCGAAGGGCCAGGCTGGAGATCTGAGGACACAGCAGGTGCAAAGGTCCTGGGGCAGGACGGAGCCTGGTGCGTTGGGAGAACAGCAAGGTCCACGGGGCTGGAGCAGGGTGAGCAAGGGGGCGTGGAGCAGGGAGGGAACGCGGCAGGTGGATCAGGGCCTCGTGGGCCTCGTGGGCCCGGGGAGTATGTTAATTCTCAAGGCTGTGCAGCAAGCAGTCGGCCCTCAAATTTGTCACTTGCCAAATCCCACCCCCTTTACTCTTAACAAGCACCTACTTCATCCCAGATCTCGTGCTATGTCAGGTGGGCAAGGCCTTCTCTGGACCCCCAGCACCCTGCTCGCCCTCACAACCGAGTCTTGGAGCAGCGCGCCTCAACTTCCCTGCTAGGCTGCAGCGAGGCCCCTGCACACCTGGGGCTCTGGGCCTCTGTTTCTGCTAAGGGCTTAAAATGGGAGCCTGAGAGAGTGAATAAGATGCCAGTCCCAAGATGCCCAGGACCACAGGAGCCCCTGGCGGCCTTGGGGCAGACCCCCTGGAGCTCTGATGGGGGACAGGAAAGCAGGGGCAACGGTGGAGGGGGTCCAGCAGCAGCGGCTGATAAGCTTCTGTTAACAATGGGCCTCTCTGTCCGGGGGTCACCCGACTGGTTTGTCTGTGACCTGACTGGGAGGGGTGCTGCTGTGCGGTGGAGGGCACAGGGGCGGGGGCCAGGTGGGCACAGGCAGGGTGCTTGTGTCGTGGAGGCCCCTAGACCTGGGGAGGTTTATTCACTCACACTCACACCCAGCATTCTGGTCCCCATGTGCATGCTGATCCACTCATGCACACACACTTGGGGGCTGTCACTCATACACACCCAAACATTTGCACGTGCTCGCCTGGACATGCCCAATCACCAGCTCAAACACCATCCTTTCCCTTACATACCCCATGTTTTCACACTTATGCACGTGGACATTTTCACACAAACCGAAACACACTCAGTGTCTTCACACTTGTGCCCAGATGTGATCACACACATGCACTAGGAGTTTTTCACACTTACACCCCCAAGCACGATTACACTCGCACACTTCAGTACAATCACTGGTCACACCCAAACTTGCATATGACCATGCACTCACACGGGGGCACACGTATGAGCAAGACACCAGGACTGCTGGGCCCTCAGTGGCCAAGATTCTGGGGGCAGAATGGGCAGCATACACACAGTGAGTGTCCAGGGAGAGGGAGGGGCACAGCAAAGGCAGAAAGGCCAGGCCAGAAATGCACCACTCCTGCCCGGCCCAGGTCCACACATCCTGGCATCTCAGGGCTTGGCCAGGAGTCCCTTTCCAGCCCTCAGGAAATGCCCAGACCCTTGAGAATCCTCACATGTCCAGGGAAGGGGGCATTCTCCTTTCCTGGGTGCTGCACCGGTCTTAACGGCAGCAAGAGGGATCATGGATAGACGTTCACTTTGAGCTGGAGGCCACAGACTCCCTCCCCAGGGTTGGGACCCAGAAGGAGGGGAAACTGACACTCAGAGAGGGCGATATGTAACCCAAAGTCACACAGCCAGACGGGTTCTTCTAATCACTGAAGAAGCAGGCAGGTTGAGGATGTGTGGGTGTGTGGTGGTTTCTGGCAGCTTCCTCAGTGGTTCTAGGAAATGCTGCATATTATCCTTGTGCCGATGCAACACCCCGGAGCTCCACCTTTCCACTGAGCTTCCCAGGGGACACCTGCCAGGCATACCTGTTTCCTGGGGGGCCACCAGCCTCCATCCTGCTGGGCTCCTGGCTTTGGGGAGTCACCTGCTTCCTGCTCATTACCAGGGACAAGAGGGGACCCCTACCTCCATCCATTAATCTTTCTAGTTTGGAGGAGGCCTGGAATTGGGGCTGGTCCCTATTGGGCAAACTCATACTCACCCCTCAAAGCCCTCGCTCCCACAGCCCTGGCTCCAGAGAGCCATCCCTACTCCCTGTCTTGGCTCCCTGGCCACAGGTCCCTCCCTCTTGCCCAGCCCTGCCAGCATAGTGCCTGGGTCCACCTCTGTACTCGCTGGACTGGGGTCTTCTGGAGGGACAGCTGGGCTGGGTCCTCTGCAGGCAGGGGCAGGCTCGGATAACTTTGCCCACAGAAGCATGACCTTGTGGCACTCCCCAGTCTCCGCGCTTTGCCTATGTGGTGCTTCCCTCTCTGGGCACCGTCTCTGTCCTGGCACCTCACTCCTGGATGTGTCCCTGGTCTTCCCGTAACCTGGCTTCCCATCTTCAGAAAGGACCCCAATGGGGCCACCCAGCGCTGTGGGAACACCAGGGAAGGCCTGGAGGTGCTTGACTGGGTGGCTGGGTGGCTGTCCTCACTGGCCACAGGCAGAGCAAGCCGGCCCCGAAGCCATAGGGGTGGACGTGGGAGCAGCCCGCACATCCGGGTGAGCAGGGGAGGGAGGGCGTGTGTCTTGTGTCTGAACACACAGCTTGTGGGTTCCAGACAGCTGAGCTGGGATGCCTGCTTTGTCTTCCTTGTTGGATAACGGGAGGGGGGGGTCAAGCTCCACCCTCACTCTGAGCCTCAGTTTCCCCACCTGCACCAAGGACTGCCGGGGACACCCTCTGTCATCAGGAGAGCCCCGTGACTCAGGGGGGTCCTGCAGGCCCAGCTGATGGCAGCAGCTGGGCGCGGGCCTCAGACACGTGCTCGCATGTCTCGGCCTCCCTCTCCTCCGTCAGTGCCGACAGCTCCGGGGCTGGCGGCTGGGCCTATTCCGGGGGAGGCCTGCCTTTCTCCTCTGTCCCAGATGGCCCCTGAGGGTTCCCCGGTATTCCACAGATGGGGAAACTGAGGCCCCAGGAGGGGCGGGATTTGGGCCTCTCTCAAGGCAAGACTCAATGGTCCTGTAAAACAAGACACAAATTCCGCAGCCCGCAAAAATGTGCCCCCTTCCTTGGAGGGCCCCAGGCCCCAGCCCCACCCCATGATGGGGACGGGGAGGCAGGGGCAGCCTCGAGCCGGCAACGTACATCTGGGGGTAAACAAGGAACATCTGGTTAGCACAGCTGGTTCTGATGCCGTGTCTGTGGGGGGGGCCAGGGGCCAGCCCCTGGGGCAGTCTCATAGGGGGCCTGCAGTCACAGACACCCCTGGTTGACCCTTCCACAACTGGCCAGAGTGGGGGGCACAGCTTCTTCCTCCAACCCAGAAAATGCCTGCTGCCTAATCTCTAGAACCATCACTGGCTCCCTGCTACTCTCAGAATCAAGTCTTGGCTCCTGAGGTTTTCTCAAGGGACTGAGTGTGTCTTCACCAAAGTGAATCTCAGGGGCAGACAGATGGGGAGAATGATTTCTCGGGGGGGACTGTGCTGGTTGCTTCGTGGTAAAAAGGAAAAAAAAAACAGCTAACACTAACCCTAGCAAACAACACGGTTGGTGCCATTCTAAGCACTTTACACATAGCCACTCAGAAAAAGGCATGGACTGTTTGACTCCCGTTTTGTAGAAGGGAAAACTGAGGTCCAAAGAAATTTCACTTGACTTCCTCAGAGTCAAACACAGTATGAGTGGCCAAACTGGGATTTGAGAGCAGGTGGTCGGGCAAACTCCTACTCATCCCTCAAAGCCCCAGACCCAACACCCCGTCCTCCACATTATTAACCACTGTACCATACGGCCTCTCTAACAACAACAATAATCACATTAACACCCCAGCAATGTCAGCTTTCCATTTATTCACTGCCGATCATTGTGCCAAGTGCTTTCCACATGCTTAATTTCCCCAGAGTCCCTGGAAAAGATGCTATTTTTCATCCCCACCCCCACCCCCACCATTTTCCACATGGGGAAGCGGAGGCTTGGAGAGGTAGAGTGACTTGCTCAGGGTCATACAGGAACTAAGTGGCCAAGCTGCAGTTGAACCTGGGTCTGATTCCAAACTTGCTCTCTCAATGCCGTCACAGTCCCCAGGACCTGGGCAGCCCAGGGGAGGCTGAGGGGGAGGGGAGAAGCAGGGAGGGTGTGGTGGGTCCTGCTGTTCGTGGGAAAAGTGGGGCTGAGATCCAGGAAGAAAGCGTTTTTTTCAAAGACATACAGCAGAGCAGAACTAGTAAGTAAATAAAAGGCCCACATGGCAGAAAGCCCAGTGTGCCAGGCTGGGTTCCGCTCCCAACACATGGACTCAACCCTTACTGAACGTCGGCTATACGCTGAGCCAGGGCGGCCAGGGCCAGCCTGCGTCTGGTTCTTGACAAGATCACCATCCAATCAGGGAGATGGGTAAGAAATAAGAAGTAAGCGAGGTGATTTAGATGTTGGCGGTGTAATAAAATAGCACAATAAGACAAGGGGAAGTGATAGGGACTGGGGACTGCTTTTAGGCTGAGTGGTCAAGGAGGGCTTCTCAGAGGAGGCAGCATGTGAGCTGAGACCCTGTGAAGATCGAAGCAGAGGGAACTGTTCTCCAGAAGACTAGGCTGCAGGGCACGTGTGTGGTGGCGCCGCCAGCTTTTCAGACCCCCCACTTCTGGCCCAGCCCTCTGTTGCTGGCCCATAAAACTCCCACCAAGACCACATCAGGCTGGCCGGGGACCGGCCCCACAGGTGTCTGGGCCAGGCAGGAGGGGCTACTTGGGGTGGGATAACAGGATCAGCCTAATGAGGCTGGGCATGCTGAGCAGCTGGCCTGGGGCCCAGCCAGCAGGCAGTGTGACGGATGTGGGTCCTCTGGAAATGGCCAGGAGGGCATCACACAAAGCCAGCCACTGGGCAGAAAGGGAAACCGAGGCATGGACCCCAGATGCAGCTCAAGCCCTAAAATGGTTTCCTGAGAACCAGGGTCTTAGGAGATCCCACCTCTTCTATCTCCCCAAGTTCAAACACTGCTTCAGGTCCCCAACACACCGAACTATTCAGGTGTGAACGGTGCCCTCTCTCTCGGCCTCAGTTTCCCCAACTGGGATGTGAGACCTGCCTGCTACAAGCAGGGGCCCTCACTGAATTCCTTCCAGGACAGCCCCAAGCCTGATTTCCCTTGGATTTGAAGCACAGATCTTTCAGCTTGCAGACACCTCACCGAAATGCCCCATTCCCTGCTCAGACTTCCTTTGCGGCTGTTACCTCTCCAGGAGCCCAGGGGGTAGGCTGGCTGCTTTGGGAGGCTCCTGTCCGGTCCCCCACCCCCACCCCACCCCGTGTGCAGCAGGCACCAGCCCTTCTTGTTCTCTGCTTCATCCTAGGGCAAAGCTGGGCTGGCAGCGGCGTAATGCTCCGGAACTACAAGGAGCCTGGGGGAAAAGTCCCCCCAGCAAGCCCCGTCTCAGTATTCTCGGTTGCAAAACAGGGAGAACCAGCGCCCATGGGCCTGCCAGTTGGTGCTCACTGAGCAGAGGGAAGACCACCCCATCTGCCCCTTCATCTCCGCTTTGTGGGCCTTGTGGACTGGACCCTTCTGCCCCCCTTGGGGAACAGGCAAAGATGCACTCGCAGAGGAATCACACAGCCTCCTAGCAAAGACAGCTGGGCCCAGTGATGCCAGACGCATTAAAGACCTGTTCCTCTCTCCTCTGTATCCAGCGCCCACCTCCAGAAATCCGTCCTTGAATGCCCCAGCCCAGTTCTCCCTCTGCCAACCTTCCTGAGCACTCTCTCCCTCCCACACTCACCCAGGCATCCTGGATTTTCCAAAACTACACATGCTATTTCCTGCCTCCAGATTTTTGCACGTGCCGTCCTGCCACCTGGAATGCCCTTTCTTTTGCCACTTGGAACACTCCTACTCATGCTTCACAGCCCCAGCTCCAATGCCCCTCCAGTAAGTCTCCCCTGACCCTCCTACCCTGAGGTAGAGCCTTTGCTCCCCATTCTGTGCTCCACCCTGAATCTAAATCTATCTTCCTTGAAGGTCAAGGCCCAGGAGCCCTTTGTCTGCCACACCATAGCTGTCTGACAAACATTTGTGGTAACAATCTCTTGATTGTGTCCTTGTGCCCGGCTGCAAACTCGTTCCTCCTCCTACCCCAGACTCTTCAGAGTTGTAGCCTCTGCTCACCCCCTGAAAACTGAGGCCTGAACCCCAAGAGGCAGGCGCTGATGGTGGAATCTCAGTCACCTGGCTGCAGAGGGGGAGGCTTTGTTTTCTTCCCTGTATCCCTAGAACTAGCTCTTTGCAGCTCACGGCTGGGCGTTGGGCTGTGAGGGCCAGGAGTGACTTTGGACCCCAGATCCTTGGGAGTCCTAGGATGAAGGGAGTGGGGAGGGGTGTCCAAAGGGCCCCCGGGCAAGGGGCTGGGGGTGGGGGAAACTGGCAAAGCTGGGAGTCTCCCCTCCCTTGACATCCGCCTAGATCAGTCACACCCCACTGGGGCTCCCACAGCCTGGGGCACGTGAAGACAGACAAAGAGGGTCATGGAACACGGAGAGAAGGATATTGGGCGAGGAGGGGGCAGGGTGGGCAAGCAGGGGTGAGGAAAGTCAGGGGTCAGTCTCCTGCACCACCTGCCAGGACCCTGGTGGTGCTCCCCACATCCCGGCTGAGGGCCCAGCATTGCAGGTAACCACAAGCCCGCTGGGCTAGGCCAGCGGCACCACAGTATATGCTGGTGCTCTCAGGGAGGCACAGTGCTGACACTGACCGTGGGAGAGGCCACTCCTCTCTCCAGTTCCACCCCAAATCTGCCCACTGTGTGCAGCGCCCTGGATCTAATGACTCCTAACCCACAAACTGCACGTTCGGGGCGAATTCTGAGACTATCCTGAGCAAGAGATGGCTTTGTAAAAAGCACGTAAGGAAGGGAGGCAGCCCCCTCTCCTTCAAATCCGGCTTTGCCCTTAAGGGACCCACCCCCCAAAGGGTTTCGCGCCCTCTTGTGGCTAAACAGGCGGCTCCAGAAGCCGAGAGAGCCGGGCCCTTACCGGAGGACACCGTGTCCCCGGCGGCGGCGGCGGCGGCGGCGGCCGGAACGCGCCACTGACAGATGTTTACTTCTGCGTGCCGCTGGGCCGCGACGGCACCTCCCCGGCTGGGCTCTGCAGGATCCGGATGCCCCCCACGGCCCCTTGTAGACCACCAGACAGAAGCGGTGTCTGGGTCTCGCCCTCCTAGAGGCTGAGGACGGGATTCTAGCTGCCCCCGCTAACACCCCTCTTCAGACATACACTTGGGAGTCCAAGGGGCCAGGGGCGCTCCCGCCCCGTCGGACAAGGGCCCCACCCGACTCCCCCCGGCCCGGCCAGGTCCTGCCTTGCAGAGGCGCCTAAGACAGCTCTCCCCGCCCCCCGCCACACGCGGACCTGTCGCCCCTTGACCGCACCCTGATGCGCACGCCAGTTCCTGGCTCCTGGAGCAAAGCTACTGAGGAGCTGCCAGAGTCCCTGGAAGCCCCCGACCTCCGTCCACCCGGCCGGTCTCCTGCGGGCCCCCCGTGCCCTTGCCTACCTGCTCTGGGCGGCCGACTCCCCGTCAGTGGTGGCCGCGCCTGCTGCCCGCGCCGGCCCCGGCCCCTGCCCCTGCCGCCGCGACCGCCATCCGGGCCGCCTGGACCCGCGGCGCCCGGGGGGGTCCGGGCCGGAGGGGGCGGCCGCGGGGGGGGCGCGGCGCGTGCCGGCCCATGGGGCCCCCCTCCCCGGACTCGCTCAGCCGCGAGCGGCGGCCATCCCGGCCGGGCGGGGGCGGGGGCAGGGGCTGGGGGCGCCCTGGACGGCCGGCGGCTCGGAGGGCGCGGAGCGCGCGGCGCACGGACGGCGCGGGCGGCCTCGGCGCCAGGCGCGGGGATCCGGGGCGGCGGCGCGAGGGGCCCCGGGCGCTCGGAGCGGCTCCACGGCGCGCTCTCCCGCTGCCTCCGCCGCTCCCGCCGCGGACGGCTCGGCCGGCTCGAGGCTGGGGGCGGGGAAAGGGGCGGGGCGAGGGGCGGTGGCTCGGGTTTCACGGGACGGGAGCCGCCCTCGCCCCGCCCCTGCCCGAGGGGGGCTGGGGGAGCGCAGGTGGCACGGGTGCCGGGGCCTCAGCGCCCCCCTAGACGATGATCTGCCTGATAGTCGGAGACCCCCGGCGGCGCCCCTTTGGGAAACCCGGGGCCCCAAGACGCCCCCTCCCCAAAAACCCCCTCGTGGGATAAGAGCCACAGGGTCCCCGACATCAGTCCCGTGGCCTTCAGTGCCACTCTACAGGGGCTCTACCAGGTCCTCCGGTCCTCTCTGGCCCCCTTCTGGAAAGCCAAACCCCAAGAAGTCCCACACCAAGGAAAACGGTCAAGGGAACCCCCAGAGCAGCGGTCTCGCCAGTAAGCTGTTTTCCTCCCACCTCCAGGGACCCCCCACAGAGCATCTTTCATAAATCCGGGCCCCGAGACACCCCCCTCCCCCGCCGAGCCACAGCAGTCCCCCCGACGGTTCTGACCTCACCCCACCAAGGATTGCAGGGCCCCGTAGCCCTGCCCCAGCCCCTTTCTTCAGAAAGCTCAACAATCCCCGTCTAAGAAAGTCATTCCAGAGAACTGAGACCCAAAGTTTTCCCCTAAAACAGGCAGTGATACCCTAAGACTGACCACGCTGTCCACAGGGTCCCTCACCAGGGGCAGTTCTGCCCCGTCTGGCCTCGGTGCCTTCCGGGGGTCCCTCTCCCACCCCTGGTTCCCGACTGCGCTCCCCTGGGCACCAACAGCCCGCGCCGCTCCCGCGAGCCCAAACCCACCCGGCCCCCTCCCCGACGGCTCCGCGGTCCCAAAGCGCCCCCTGGCGTCCCCGCTGCACGCGGGGGCTGTGGGGGACCCCATCGTGGCCCCGCCCCTCCCCGACCTAGTTCGCGACGAACAGCCGCCCTGCAGCCCCGCCCACGGCCCCCGCACTGCAGCTCCTCCCCACGAGGTCCCGAGCGCCGCCGGCGGTCCTGGAGCCCGTGCCCTGGTGTCTCCCTCCTGCCGCCCCACTCCCTGAGGCCTCCTCACTCTGACCCAGGCCACCTGCAATCCTCTGGCCCCAGGAGCTCGGGGCTCTGCACGGACATTAGGCCTTCCTAAGACCCACCCCACCCCCAGCACACACACACACCCCTACAAGGGGCCTGGACAACTTGCACCGCCACGCCGTGTACGAGGGGATGGCGGGCACTCATTCGCGACGGCCGGGGGTGCGCCCAGCGCGTGTGCACGGCGTGGTGTTCCCCCGGGGATATGCGTTTGTGCTGCGTCTGGGCATGAGAGCGAGAGTATGTCAGAGAAGGGGCGTCCCCGAGACTGCCTGGTCCTGGTGCAGGGTGGGAAGAACAGGTGTCTGTGTTCTGGGTGGCCTCGCGTGGATACTTCTTGTAAGTGTCTGTTTCCGCACCTGTCACACGGTGTATTGTTAACACAGCTTAGTGACGAGTGACTGAGTGGGCTGGGCACGCGGTGAGCAATGCCGAAGAGCCGCTATTGGTGGTGTCGCCAGGGGCTCAGTCTCAGCGACACGCACACCTTGGCTGAGAGGGAAAGTGGCACTGGTGTGGCACCGGTAGCGGTTCACACATAGACCTCTGTACCTGTGTTCCAGGTGGGGTCACCCAGCACCATCCTTGTCCGCACACATACCTGGACACCCGTATGAGCACAGAGCCACTCCTTCACAAATCACGGTCCCCACCACCCATGTCCCCGCAAGCAGACACCCGTGGACGTTCACTCACACAGGCGTCCTTCACTCCCGTCCAGGCACACTCACGCACACAGACACAGCTCACACTGCCCCTGAAACATGCACGCACACACAGCTCCCAGTAGCGGCACAGACCCATGTGTCACGCACAGCCCACTGGCCCTCAGAGTAGCTCCTTGGTTGCTCGTGCACGCGCATGCACGCTCAGTGGATTGTTTCACGCTCCCCTGCTGCCTGAAGTCGGTACGCACATTAACACACACATAGGCACCGCGTGTGACCCATTCCACGCCCCCTGCTGGTACCCACGGCCACCTGCGACCACTCACACATCCCCACCGTGTGCACACACACAGCGCTCAGACATGCAATTCACACAACAGCCTGTGACACACCCACCACCATGAGCAGGCAGTGCCCACCCCACAGCCACACAAGTGAGGGAATCTCAGGCACCGTGGCAGGGCAGCTCCGGGAGGCCCTGCGCGGCTGCACACACACAGCAGAGCCCGGCCCAGCTGCACACGAGCGGCCGCCGCTAAGCTGTCCCCCGCTGCCCCTCGGCTGCCTCCAGCTCACCCCGCTGCCTGCACCTCCCTCCCTGCTGCGGCCGGGGGCTGTGGGGGCAGGGGCGTGCAGACACATGTGCCCACCATGTGGACACTCGTAAAATGGTTGCCTTGGCAACAGTGACTTGAAAGACTTGGTTCTTCCTGGGGTGGGCGGGGTCGAGGGGGCGGGACCCAGGCCCACCTTCCCCTGCGGCTGGAGACCCCAACACCCCTCTTGGGAGCATTCCTGCACACCGCCACCTGGGGGGAGTGCCCAGAGACCCTGCTTGCTCGGGGCCAGCCCCACATGGGCGCAGGAGGCACAGGTTCGTGCCTTCCTGACACCCTCACACGCTGCTGTGTCACCTCATGCCACCCAGCACTCCTGGCCACTCTCACCAACTCACACACCTTTGTCACCCCCTGGACAGACGGTGACAGACAGACACCCTGTCACCCTGGCTGAGTCACACCGCAGCTGGGAACTGGGGCGCACACAGGCACACCCGCCCTCTGGTCCCCACCCCTCAAGGGACCTGCCTGGGCCCAGCTGCTCTGGAGGCCGAGGGGGTTCAGCGGCTGGTGCTATTTGGAGGAAACACGGGTATTTACAACGCTTTATTTTTAAACCTTCCTTGTCCCCGACTGGGGCTGCTGCGCCCGAGGCCAGGGTTGAGCCTTGGCCCTCCCATGCTTCCAGGGCAGCCCCTGCGGAGGGACGGTGGTCTTCCGGTGCCTGGATGCGGGGAACCTGAGGCCTGGTGGGAGCAGGAGGCACGTGGCCTCGTGGCTGATTGGAGCCTGCTGGCCCCAGGGTCAGGGCCACGGCAGAGACGGGACAGCTCAGGGGTGGCAGGGACCCAGTTCCCTTCCACCTGCCTGCCCTGCACGGTGCTTGCGGGGAAACTAGTTCGCTCCTTCACCACATCCTCGGCTGCCTCCCCCAGGTGGCTTCCGGCAGCGCCTCCCTGTCCTTAGGCTGCTTTGTGCCCCTTGGCACCTGTGAAGCCTGAGGATCAGAGAGGTCAAGACCACGGCCCAAGGTCACAGAGTCAGGGAGAGGCTCAAACGGGGAGCTAGATGACTCCAGAACATTCAGCCACTGCCCGGGCCACTCCTCCGCCTGTTCCCCGGGGCTGGCCCCTGCCCTTCCCTGGCAGTCACTGCTCCCGAGGGGGTATCCTGTTCGGGGGTGGAAGCCCTGGCGGAGGCTGGGGGAGGCTGGGGGCCGCTGGCCAAGACGAGGGCTTGGCCGGTGGAGAAGTTTCCATCTTAGAGCCAGGAGCCGGTCCAGGCCCCGGGGGCCCAGGGCTACACCTCAGGACCCCCAGGGACCAGCCTCCCAGGCGTGAAGGTGTGGAGGTGGCCTGGAGCCCTCTGTCCCCTCAGCTGCCCCCAGCTGGAGCATCAGCCATGCCCAGGCACTGTGTCTTGCCCCACCCCCAACGGGCCTGTGACTGAGCTCTGGGGCCTCAGGTTCCCCATCTGTGAAACTGTCCCGTGTTTGTTGTGTGCCCAGTGCAGACCCTCTGCAGAGAATAGTGTCCTTCTCCCATGGAGAAGTAAAGGGCCCACCCGGGGTCAAGGGGACAGCTCAGGATGGCTGGTGACCACGAAGTGGCTCCACAGAGCTAGGCTCCAGGGCTCTGGATTTGACAGTTATGTTTGCCCTGACTTGGACAATGCTGCGAGTGGAGAAAGGCCTTAGACTTGACAGGGACACAGCTGGACACGCTCCCAGGGGGGCAGAGGAGGAGCTGGCCTGCCCAGGCCCGGATGGGGCCCTTGAGGCCTGTGGGCGGCAGAAAGGAGCTGGTGGGTTCCAGGCAGGATGGGAAAAGCAGGGCCAGCCGCCGTACGCACAGGGTCATCTGCAGCCGCAGGTTACAGGTCAAGGGCCCTGTCCTTGGGGGCCCAGGTCAGCAAGGTGGGAAAGCCATCAGGCTGGCCTCAGGGAGCCGGGCAAGGGTCAGGCTGCGGTTGGGCAGCCGCCTGGGGGGCGGGACTGGGACTTGCAGAGGCGCCAACACACAGGCCACACGTGTGAACACAGTCACACACACAGACTCAGTAGGCACACACTTCTACACATTCACAGTCATGCACACAGACACACCCCCAAGTCACAACATGCAACAGGCACAGCTGCAAATGTGTACACACACACGCATGCACGCACGCACAAGCCACACGTGTGTACACTGGCACCCACACGCACAGCAGCCCCAGCTGCCGAGGTTTGTGGACTCCCGGCAGCTTGCTCTTGCCACCCGCCCGCCGGGCCTGTTGTCTCACGTCCTTGGCCCGAGCTGCCCTAATCCCTGTCTCGTGTCCCGCAGCCAGAAGATAAGGGGCAGCTGCAGCCCCAGATAAAGGAGGCGCAGCCACAAATCTGGGGCGGCCCAGCAGCAACGGGCACTGAGCCTGGGCCACACACCTGCCCCACTGCAGCCACCTCATCCGGCCTGGCCGATGGGGATGAGGGACAGGGAGAGGGCAGGGGGGAGACAGAGGCCTGGGGGGACAGAGACCCAGAGGAGGAGACGGAGACATGGACGGGGAAAGAGGGGCGGAGGAACATGGTGGGGATGAGACATGGAGAGAAAGACATGAGAGGGACAGAGGGACCCAGAGAAAGAAATATTAACAGAGCAAAAAAACAGTTTTTGAGACTAAAACAGGAAGAGGAAGAGAGACAGAGGCAGAGAGTGAGCTAGTGACTTTGCAGGGGGGCAGTGTCCCCACCGCCTACCTGGGGGTCTCCCCCCTCCTCAGGGGCCCCAGTGCCACCTGCCTCCTTCCCTCCTCAGATGAGTCGAGGTCAGGCTTTCAGAAGGTGACTCGGATCTGGTCCGGGGTGGGGGGGACATCTTCCTCAATGTCCCCACACTCTCCAGGGTGATACCTGGGACATCCTCAGCCCTCTTCCACAGCAGCAGTGAAGGTGGGACCCCCGACACCAGGCCCTGCCCCCTCTGTGCCTCATCTCCCCCAGCCATAATAAGATGCATTCACTCAGCAAGTGTTCATTGAGCACCTACTGTGTGCCAGGGTCAGTGCTGGGGACACAGACAGACTGAAGCATTTCTGGACTCCCAAGGGGACACTCAGGTGCTACAGAACCTGAAGGGACACTGGACCCATCCTGAGCAGTGGCCAGAGTGGCTTCTAGAAGAGGAGGGGTTGAGAACTGATGGGTGAATGGAATGAGCAAGTTGACCCGGAGCAGGGAATAGGATTCCTGGAAGAGGGAACAGCATATGCAAAGACTAGGAGGTTAAGACTGGCACATGGGAGGTCTGGAACGAACTTGGTGCTGAATTTAGGGTGTGAGGAGGTGATGAAGGATGAAGCTGAAGGCAGCAGGGACTGGGTCACGCAAGAATTTGGGGGCTGTGGTACATGACTGCGGCAGTAGGGAGCCATGGGAAGATTGGGAGCAGGGGAGGGCCCTGTGGTACTTGTGTTTTAGGAAGGGCTGTGGGAGGCTGGGCTGTTGGGGACAGGACGGGAGATTGAGGCCTGGAAGGTGGGGGGTGATGGGAGGGGGTGTGACCTGAAGAGACTGGAGGAAAAGTGGGTGAGGACATGGGGACCCGACCCGCAGTCGGGGGAAGGATGGGAGGCGAGGCTGCTGCCCTGGTCTCTGGATCAGGACAGTGGAGTTAGTCCCCGAGGCAGGGACTTCCACAACCCTGGATTCAGGTGGAGTTGGGATGAATGCTTGTTTCCTCCACACGTGGTGAGAGAGAGGAACAGGAGGGTGAAGGCACGAATAGGGCTTAGAATGGGGCCTGGCACACAGGAGCGCTAAATAATTGTTTAGCTACTGGTAAACGTTTAACATTGTACCATTGCAATAGGATAATAAATAATAATATTACTGCACTAGTATTAGTATCATGGCTATCAGTGGCCAGTCCACAACCCCGCCTCCGCCCACGCAGTAAGCCTTCCTGGGTTGCCTGGCACAGAGGACAGGCCATCCCAGAACAGGACAGGGAGTCCTTGGACGGCTTTCTGTGGAAACTGAGGCCCAGAGAGAGGCGAGCACGTCCCCGAGGTAGGCTTCTGCGGGCCTGTTTCCCCATCTGTTCAACTGTCTCCCCAGCCTGGATTTGGGGGGGCCTGTGGGACGCTAGGAAAGGTTTACTACTATAGAACTTTAGAGGGCAAGACACGGGTATCTCTGGAGGGACGAGTGAGCTTCCGTCCCCAGAGGTGGGCAAGCGGCCAGGCACGAAGTTTCCCAAGGCCTGAGGTGGTTTCTCCGTTTTCCAGTCCGGTTCCACCGTTTTATGCCAAGATGGCCCTACAGAGGGCAGCCGAGTCCAGAGATGGAAGGCACGCCTCTGCTCCCCCACCCCCACTGCGCTGTGCGCCCTCAAAGGCAGGGATTGCCTGTTCTGTTCACTGCTGTATCTTCGGCATCAGGCACACAGGCGTTCAACAAATTATTTTCTGAATGAACGTCCGCATCAACGTAGTGGAACTTAATTTTCTTTTAAAAACGCAGCAGGAAAACAAAACACTTCTGTGGGCCGACAGTTGCACGCGACAATACACTTCGGAAGCCCTGGGAGGATCATTGAATATTTCCGGTCCCCGCAAAGAGATCCCTACTTACGACCTGAGGCCCCGCCCCCATTCAAGCTCCGCCCCGTTACGTTGCCGCAAGTGCAATAGGGACGCTTGGACCGGCCCAGGCATGCGCACTTGCCCACCACGAACGGGGAGGACACACCGGCGACCCGGAAGGCCTTCCCGCCACACTCCCAAGGGGGCGTGCGGTGGCGGGGGGCGATGGCGGAGGGAGCAGCGGAGGCCTCGGTAGAGAGCGGTGGCAACTCGGGAGCCGGCGCGCCAGAACGGGGAGTGGCGCCCATTAAACCGCAGTGAGTTGCCGAGACGGGGAGAACCTCTCGGGGCTTTCCCAGCACCCCTAGTGCGGACCAAGAGGTGCATGCTGGTTGATGGGGCAGCGGCCCAGGCCTGGAACTCGGCGGACTTTTCTTTTTGGATGCTTCGTCCGCCCGCAGAATCAGCGGCACTAGCTGAAACCGTGAACGTACGCGGCTGTCACATGCGCAAAGCATGCCGCGGTGCATGCTGGGGTGGGCTGTGTTCGAGGCGTGGACCGCAGTGCGTGCTGGGACTGTAGTCCCAGAATATTGCGGGAATTGCGCATGTGCACCGCCGCCGGCCAGCGTCACGTACAGGCTGGGTACTCGTGTCTCAGGCGAGTACCACGAGGAATCCTGGGGCTGGTAGTGCTGAAGGGACTGCCGGGAAGTGTGACGGCTCTGGGGCCCCTTCCACCAGCCCGTTGCAAGGCATGCTGGTACGTGTAGTTTTCCTGTACGTGAACGGGCCTGATGCCTGTAGTTTGGCTCAGCACTCTGGGGCGTGGAGACCCAGGGACAAAGTAGATCTTCTCTGTGGCCTTGACATGCGCCCGGGCTGGCAGCTGGCCGGATCCAAGTACTGAGCTCCCCATCAGGGGGAAGCATGTAAGAGGGGGCAAGTGTTATCAGTCCCTTTGTCCAGCGTTCATTGAGTCTGAGCTCAGCAGAGGGACTCCCTGGGCAAGCCCTGCTCCTTTCCCCTGCCTCCCTGCTGGCAGATTCTGCACCACCAAGAAGCAATTCCATGATTTTCTGGAAGCCAAAGGGCAAACGCCCTGCCAGGAAACCGAGGCAGGAAACATTGGTGGCAATGACCTGTCTGAGCCCGAGGCCAAGAGGATCCGACTGGAGGATGGGCACAAGGAGGACAGGCGGTCAGGGGAGGCGGCCGAGCCCCAGGAGCAGCCGCAGGTTCAGAAGAGGGCCCGGGGCCAGAACAGGGGCCGACCCCACCTGAAGCCCACCCACTATGACAAGAACAGGCTCTGCCCCTCCCTGGTCCAGGTGAGTGTCACTGTTGCTCTAACGTCTGGGGGCCCTCCGTCTGAGCCTCTGTGTCCCCCGCTCAGTCCTCGGGATGTTGGAATGTATCATTGTTTCGTTTCCAAGATGAAGAAGCTGAGGATCAGTGCGGTTGCTGACTTGCCCCAGGCCACAAAGCCAGAGGGGCAGCAGGGATGTGACCTCCACACCCAGGTCGCTGGGCTCCCTCGGCCTTTCCTCTCCCACCACCGCTCCGCTGCTTTCTTGCAGGAATCCGCCGCTAAGTGTTTCTTCGGCGACCGCTGCCGCTTCCTGCATGACGTGGGCTGCTACCTGGAGACCAAGCCGGCTGACCTGGGCCCGCGCTGTGTGCTCTATGAGACCTTCGGAAAGTGCCCCTATGGCGTTACCTGCCGCTTTGCCGGCGCCCATCTGGGGCCCGAGGGCCAGAACCTGGTGCAGGAGCCACTGGTCCAGGTCCCGCTGGTCCGCAACAGCCTGGACAAGGCCCTGCAGCTGCAGCTGCGGAAGCGCGAGATCCACTTTGAGCGCGCCGAGCGGGCCCTGCACCAGCTGAGCAAAGGCCAGCTGCCGGGCTCCACCCCAGCTGTTGCGGACCCCGAGCCCGTGGGGAGTGAGGGTGCCGCAGGGCAGGACAGCTGTGCCGCCCAGCAGGCCTCCCTTGGGGCAGGCGCGGGTGCCCCTCCCAGCGCCTCTGTGCAGACCTGTGGGCCCCTGACCGATGAGGACGTGGTGAGGCTGCGGCCCTGTGAGAAGAAGCGGGTATGTGTCTTGGGTTTCCTGTCGAGGATGCCGGCGGCTTGGGGGGCAGAGTTGCCAGACAGACCCTCCCAGCCCCAAAGAGGCGGGGCTGGGGTACAGGGAGGCAGTGGGAGAGGCTTCCTGGCAGAGGGGCTGTTGGAGCAGGGTTTCCGATGGGTGAGTAGAAACCGTCCAGCAGAGGAGAACGTGGAGGATCAACTGATCCTTGCAGAGGACCGAGGAGAAGGGCTGCTGGGCCCGGGGGACAGGGCAAGGCACGTCCCTCAGTGCGCAGGGAAGGGAGGCCCCAGAGGGCCTGGAAGTGAGGTGGGCAGTCACGCCTCGCTGCGCGTTTTCTCTCCCTCCAGCTGGACGTCAGTGGCAAACTGTACCTGGCCCCCCTCACGACGGTAGGACTCACGTGGGTCAGGCCGGGTGGTGGCAGCACCGTCTCCTCATAGTGACCAGCGTCTCCTCTGCCTGTGGGCCTTGGGACTAGGGTAGGTGTTCAGCGTCCCTGCCGGCCCCGCCCCACAAGGGTCTGTGTCCTCTGCTGCCCCCAGTGTGGGAACCTGCCCTTCCGGCGAATCTGTAAGCGCTTTGGGGCTGACGTGACTTGTGGGGAGATGGCCGTGTGCACCAACCTGCTGCAGGGCCAGACGTCCGAGTGGGCCCTGCTCAAACGCCACCCGTGTGAGGACATCTTTGGGGTCCAGGTTGGTGCTGCCTGGAGGGAGGGAGGGAGGGAAGGAGGGGGGCTCTCAGCTGCGAAGTTTCAGAGCCAGTTCAGGGATGACGAGGCCAATGGTTCAAGTGCCCCCGTGGGCAGCGTCCAGGAGGGGACAGCCTGGTCCGGCCCCTGACCTCTGCCCTGCCACCGGGCGCAGCTTGAAGGCGCCTTCCCCGACACCATGACCAAGTGTGCGGAGCTCCTGAACCGCACCATCGAGGTAGACTTCGTGGACATCAACGTCGGGTGCCCCATCGACCTCGTGTACAGGAAGGTAGTGGCCTGGCACCCACCCTTGCGCCACCTGGGCCTCTGGGCCTCAGTTTCCCTATCTGGGCAGCGAGGATAGAGGGGTGTGCGCCCTCCCCTCTCACCCCAGCCACCTGTCTCTCCCAGGGCGGGGGCTGCGCCCTCATGAACCGCTCCACCAAGTTCCAGCAGATCGTACGTGGCATGAACCAGGTAGGCCCCGAGACCGGTGTGCCCGCCTCCTCCCGCGCCCGACCCCAGGCCCTGCCCACGCACCGTCCCCACAGGTGCTGGACGTGCCGCTGACGGTGAAGATCCGCACGGGCGTGCAGGAGCGCGTAAATCTGGCCCACCGGCTGCTGCCTGAGCTCCGGGCCTGGGGCACGGCCCTGGTCACGGTGGGTCTTGGGGCGTGTGGGACTCACGCCTGGTGTCCTGGCGACCCTCTCTGACGGCCTCTCTCCCTGCTCTCCCCTCTTGGTCTCTGGCTCTGCCTGCATCTCTGTGTCCATCTGTTTTTATGTCTCTTGTCTGTGTGTCTGTGTGTCTGTGTCTCTCTCTCAGCCCGTCTCTCTCGGTCCCTGGGGTCCCTGTCTCTGTATCTGATCCTCCGACTCCCGTGCCTCCCTCCTCCCTCCCTCCCTGTGCGGCCTCCCTCCCTCCAGCTCCACGGCCGCTCCCGGGAGCAGCGCTACACCAAGCTGGCTGACTGGCGGTACATCGCGCAGTGCGTGACGGCGGCCAGCCCCATGCCCCTGTTCGGTGGGTCCCCTGCCCTTCAGCTCAGACCTTCCCACCCATCCTGCCATCAGAGGCCACACAGCCGGGCTCACCCCCAACCTGAGACCCATCCCCCCACAACCCCAGTCCCACCAGGGGACCCAGGGCTGGCGAACAGGCCCCAAGAGCTGGCGCTCCTGCCCACGTGCAGCTCCCTGAGACCCCAGCCTCTGCCCCTCAGGAAATGGGGACATCTTGTCGTACGAGGACGCCAACCACGCCATGCAGACTGGAGTTGCTGGGGTCATGATTGCCCGGTAGGCGAGCCCGGCAGGGGAGCAGGCATGTGGGAGTTTTGTCCTGGCGGCTGGTGCCTTGGCCTGGTTGTTTGTCCCCAGGGGCAGCTCTGCCGGGACAGGGACAGAGAGATGCCTGGGGTCGCAGCTGCGGGGGAGAAGGGCTGGGAATGTCTGCAGCTGTTCTGGGTCCAGGGCCGGAGCCCTCGGGCTGGGCGGCTGCGTGAGCGCAGCAGGGAGGGCTGGGCTGCGGTTCGTGGACGCGGGCACTGACTGCTGCCCGCCCCGCAGCGGCGCCCTGCTCAAGCCGTGGCTGTTCACGGAGATCAAGGAGCAGCGGCACTGGGACATCTCGTCGGCCGAGCGCCTGGACATCCTGCGCGACTTCACGCACTACGGCCTGGAGCACTGGGGCTCGGACACGCAGGGCGTGGAGAAGACGCGCCGCTTCCTCCTCGAGTGGCTGTCCTTCCTGTGCAGGCGCGTGCGGGGCTGGTCCGGGCGGGGTGCGTGGGGACGCCGGCCCAACCTGCCCCCGCCCGTGTGCCCGCAGGTACGTGCCCGTGGGGCTGCTGGAGCGGCTCCCGCAGAGGATCAATGAGCGGCCGCCCTGCTACCTGGGCCGAGACTACCTGGAGACGCTCATGGCCAGCCAGACGGCGACCGACTGGATCCGCATCAGGTGCTCGGGGAGCCTCAGCCCTGGGGGCGGGGGCGCCCGGGCCCTGAAGGCCGTGGGGCGTGCTGGGCCCAGGCCTGACCGTGCCCCAACTCGCCCTCCTCACAGTGAGATGCTGCTGGGACCCGTACCCCCCAACTTCATCTTCCTGCCAAAGCATAAGGCCAACGCGTACAAGTAGCTGTGGCAGCAGGCGCAGGGCCTGTGAGGGCCCAGCAGGAACCCGGGTGCTCGAGAAGACAATAAATTTTATTCTTTTAAAACCCAGGCTTTTCTGTGATTCTGAGGCTGCCCCTTCCCCCCAGTGGAACTTTTCCCTCAACAGCAGGTGACCCTGTCCCCAACAGCTCATTTCCTGTTCTCTCTTGTTCACCAAAGTCCCAGCTGCCCCCATTGGCCCAGCCCCGTGCCAGTGCTGCTGGTGCCCAGAGCGGCCTGGACCACAAGTCACCGGGGCTCATGGGGGTGGGCCTTGGCCTCCATCGGTATGGATCAGGGTGGGCTGCCTGGAGGCAAGGGCCTTGGAGCCATCAGGCAGACATCGCTGGCAGACAAGGCAACAGACTAGGCCCAGAACCTGCCCCGCCTATGTGAGGCCCATCGCTGGCTGCCTCATTCTCGCGCCCCCCACCCCTACGGAACCCTGCGAGTGGGTGGGCCCGCAGCCTGGAACCTGTTGCCCAGAGTGACCAAACAGTACTCTGCAGGGCTCAGCCTGTCCTCTGGGTGGGCTTCCTGCACTCCTGCCTGTGCTTCCGTGGCCTGCCTCCCCATGCAGCCCCCCAAACCCTTCTGCACGCCCACAGCTCCCCAAGAAGGCTTCGGCCCCCAGGGCCTGTGTGGCGGCGCCGAGGGCTCAGGCAGCCAGCCTGCTGCTGCCTGCATGGAGTCTATGGGTACGAGCTGGGGGCAGGCGGGGGGCCTGCTGGGGCGGGAGACGGGGGCTGCGCCCACCTGACTCAGCACTGCCTGCTTTTCTTGCCCACAGGCTCCTCCAACTTGTACCATCCCCCAAACCTGGAGAAAGAAGGATTTCTGGGCTCTCCAGCAGGTACCGGCCTTCCCCAAATCCCCGAGGAGGACTTGAGTGGGTCGGTGAGCGGGGCCCATCTGGCCCCCCTGTGCCTGTTCCCAGGCAGCTCCCGAAGGCAGGGCCTCTGTGCCCATCCCAGGGGGGCCCCCAGGTCAAGGACTGTGTCCCTAAACACGGCCCTGAAGGCAAGTCCTGTGTCTTGTCCCCCCAGACCCTCCCCCAAATGCAGATGTGTCCCCAGGATTCCCGCCCTGACTACGGATCCCCAGACAGGGCCCTCAAGCAAGGCCCAGGGCCCTAGACGCCGAGATGGGGCCCCAAGAGCAAGGCCTGTGTCCTTCCTCTCCAAATGGGCCCCAAAGCCAGGTCCGTTGTCCCTCTTCCTAAATGGGGACCCAAGGATGAGGCCTGTGCTCCCATTCCCAGAGTGACCGCCATAGCTGTTCCTGGAGTCCCTGACCCCATGGCGGGTCCCCGAGGCCAAGACTTACAGCCCTATCCCCTAAATGCACCCCAAAACCAGGCTCATGTTCCCAGTTCCCCCGACGAGTCCCCTGTGTTTCGGCACTGTCCCCCATGCTGCCGCCTCTCAGGGTGCCACTTCTTGGCCTGCAGGTTTCCAGATGGCACCCTGTGGGTGCATCTTTGACCCCCGCGTCTACCAGATCAAGTGGGTCGACACTGACGTCAGCCAGTTCCCTCTGTACGAGCTGGTGGTAGTCGGTGGCGGGGGGCCAGCTGGGGGCCCTGCCTCGCCGGGCACCCACCTCCTTGAGCCCCAACACCATCTGAAGGTCTCGCCGCTGCCTCAGCTGTACCCTCGCTACCAGCCAGCGCCTGGGGGCCCCCAGGACCTCATGCCCTACTTCCCACCCGAGGAGCCCAGGCCAGAGGCCCTGGGCTTTGTGGGGGACGGGGGGCCCCCAGTGTTTATGGAGCCGCCCCCACCCGTGCTCATGGAAAGCCTGGGCCCCCCTCCACCCAAGAAGATAAAGGTGCCCCAGCTGGCCAACACCATCTCTGCTGAGGCTGAGCTGTCACCCGGCATCTACGACCGCCTCAAGAACCGCCTCAGCCAGCTGAACGGGACCCCCGAGCCCCCGGCTGTTCCTGTCCAGGAGCCACAGGCCGGCTGCTCCAGTCCGGGCCTGTTGTACCCTCTGGGCCCCGGGGAGCCCGAGGTGGCCGCGGGAGAGGCCCAGAGCCCGGAGGCAGCCAAGGCCTTCCTGCTGCCTGAGCAGGTGCCCCTGGAGGACGTCATGAGGCTCTTCGACTGCCTGCTGGGTGGTGCCGAGCACGAGGGGACACCAAGCAAGGCCCCCGGGCCAGCCCTGCCCGGCAGCAGTGGGACCGACCCATCCAGTGACATCCGCTCGCTGCACTTGCCCGACAAGCTGCTGTCCTTCGACTACAGCGTGCCTGAGGTCCTGGACGCGGTGTCCAGCGTGGACGACCTCTTCAACGTCAAGGCCGTCGGGGAGGAGCCTCTGCCCCACCCCGGGCTGCCGGCTGCCGGCACCGCGCTCGCTGCTCTGCCGCCTGAGCTGCCCAGCAACAGGAAGGCTGGCGCCTCTGCCAAGAAAGGGCGGCCCAGAGGCAAGGCCAGGCAGGCCGCCAGGCCCAGGCACGGCCGGGCCGCCGTCCCCCATTAAAGCGTATTTGACTGTAGCTCACTGGCCAGTTGCTGCTATTGGGGTCCAGGGTCGCTGGGCTGGGGCCTGGACCGGGGGGTCTGTCCGCTCGCGCAGCCCGTCCAGAACCACACTGCAAGGCCTGGCAGGCCCCCAGCGTCTTCTGGGTGCCCAGTGTCCAGAGCCAGCGGGGGAGCCCCAGACTCATGGGGAGTTCAAACTCCCTCATCTCCTGGCCCCGGAAAATTGGAGTTGGGCAGCAAGGAAGGGGGGCGTCTGGAAGGAGACGGGACGCTGTCCAGAAGCCTGGGCTCTAAGGAGCTTTTGCTTGTGTTTGGTAGAGAAAGGCAAGGTTTCCCAGAGAGGGGCAGGAACGTGCCTAGAGATACACAGCAAGCAGGGTGGGTCCTGGGGAGTGCCCTGCTGCCACACTGCTGCCTCTGCTGTCCCCCAAATGCCATGTCCGGTGGGGGCAGGGGGGAGGCAGGAAAGCCAGGGAGGGCACCCCACTGTGCTGGGCCAGGCCACACGCAGGTTCTGGGTCCCAGGTAGGGGCGAGCGGCCCTGCCCTCACCACCCCTGGGCGCCCTCCCACCCTGGCTTGTCGCCCTCAGGCCCACAGACCACGGGCCTTTCCAGAGGGTGCAGGATGGGCACAAGCTGTGCCCTCCTCCCCAGAAACACCCAAGGTGACCTGAAACAGGCTGACTGGCTTCCTAGGTGGCATATAAGCCAAAGGGAAGTAAAAAGGGGGACAGGAATGCCAGGCTGGGGCAGAAGCCCCGGCCTGGGCCGCCCTTGCAGAGTACGAGGGTTCCCTGGGTGGGTGCCTCTGGGGAAGCCCCATGAGCTTAACTGGAGTCTCAGGGTGCTGGGTGCCGCGAGGCCGAGACGGGGCTGCCACCCTGGTGCTGCCCAAGTGCTGGTCCCACAGCACACCCTGCAGGGGCCGCTTCCCTGAACCTGACTCCAGGGACTGGGAGGTGGCCATGCCCGGGCCTGTAGCAGCACGGCCCCTCTGCCCACTGTCTCCTGTCCCCACATGGAGCCCAGTTCCTCAGTTTCCCTCTGAGCTCCCTCCATGCAGCCGCATTGGGGGTGTCGCTGAGACTAACATCACCCAAGTGCCCCAATGAAGGGAAGGCCCTGGTAAATGGTGGACAGATGTCAGAGGACAGGCTGGCATTTCCTGGTAATTGACACAGAGCAGGGTTGGCAGCAAGTGGTACCTGACAACCTGACACGTCCATCTCCTCCTGAGAGGCCTGGAGGACCTTTGGGGCCCAGCTGCCAGCCAGGGGGGGGAAGGTCACGGCCACTGCACAGCCTAGAGCAGTGGTTTTCAGCAACCAGACTGAGACAATTTGAAATGACTATGGAACACATTGTTTTAGCCTCAGTCATCAGGGAAGGAGTGGGACCACCCAAGTTTTCACGTGGAATGAGATGGCCAGCCAGCCTGAGTTTTAGAATGAAGTGGTAGGCGAGGGAACCCCCACTGAACAGATGGGTAGAATGCACACATATGTACACTGGGTGGCTGTGTCCACAGCATGTGCACACTTATATCTAATTCCTGTACATATTATCTATATGTGTATATATGTACCTACGTGACATTATCCATACATTTGTGTAGGTGTACATGCCAACTATACACATGTACCCGCACTCACAGACCCATACATACAGACATTACATACAGATCATGCACATGTGCTCATATTTGGTGCACACATGCATGTGTGTGTACATATGCATATGTGTGTGTGCTTATCGTGCACACGTGTGTATACACATCTACATGCACGTGTATATACATTGTGTGTATGTGTATGCCTATACACTTGTACACACCTACATATGCATGCATCTGTATATAAATGTGTACATATTATCTGCATGCGTATGTATGAAACCATGGATATGTATATAAAACATGCTCCCAAGCCTTCACTCACGTACGTGTCCAACCATGCGTGCATTTGGGCGTGTGTGTGTATGTCACGTATAAACAGAGGACTGGGGCCCTGCCAACGACTGTGTTGTCCAGATCGCCCCACTTGTCCTTGGGCCTCATCCGTCTCTAACAGACGTGTCATGGTGTCTCACCCATTTCAGAAGGCTGCGTGTAATTCCGTGGTGCCCATGCTGGTTTATTTCACCAATCCCCTGGTGCCGCCCGTTATACCCGAGGCAGGCACTGTAATTCAAAGGTGTTCTGACACCAGAATGTCCAGGGCAGTAGCGAAGGTGGTGGTCAGGGAGACACAAAATATGGCTGGCACATCCATCCACCTGCTTTGTTAACACTTTATTTTAAGGCAACGCTAGACCCCTCCGGTGCACACTCAGCGCCTGCCCTGTAAATGCACCCAGGAGTTTCTGTACCTCCTGTACAGACTGGTCCAGAACCTCTTGAACAGTAGGCCCTTCCAGTGTGCAGCAGTGTGGGCACTATGTAGGCCAGCCACGTGCCCAGAAGGATGGTTGCCGTGAGCAGGACGATGGAGATCTCAACTGGGATGATGGAGGGTGGGAGAGCCCCATAGACATAGACACTGAAGGTGGTCTCCAGGCGACAGTAGCTGCAAGAGGCGTTGGGGGTCAGGGGGGATGGTGTTGAGGCCATGGGCACCACCTGCCACAGCTGCCCTTCACCCCAGCAATTGTGTGAAAACCTAAAGGTAGGAGACCCCAGGGGAACGACCCAGGGATGGAGGACTCACTGAGTCTCTGTGGAAAGCACGTGCTGGGAGCAGAGGTGAGAAGCCCCCTGTCTCGGGACGTTCCCCACCAGTGCATCCCAACTGCGGCTGTCCCAGGGCAAGCCCCCTGTGAAGGGTGGGGCCTGAGGGAGGGCAGGGTCTCCCTGCACTCCGGGGTGACTCTCCATCCGTCTGGAGGGGATCTATGGGAGAGAGGATGCCACCCCACATCCCCCCCAGGGGAGACGCTGATAACCTAGACCAGCACACCTGGACGTGAGCCCTGAAACCTCTCAGCCCACATGGATGGGGAGCGGTTACCAGCCAGCTGCTGGGGACAGGCCTGGCATGTACCGTGTGCCCATTCCGTGGTGTAAATGTTGCTGCAGCCAGTGGGAAATCAGCCGGTGTGCAGAACCCTGGAGTACTCAACAGGGGCCCTAGGGAGCCAGCCTAAGCCGACTCCTGCAGCCCAGCAATCAGACAGGGCAGGGACGTGGCTGCTGGTCACTGCCGCCCCTCCAGCACCCAGCATGGGCTCTGAACGAGGATTTATTCAGGAGAGAACAGACGTCATCCAGAACTTAAAATAGCGCTCTTCCTGGGGACTGTCTGGGCTCTCAGGGGGGTTCGGGTGTACCTCGGGCCGAGGGGAGGGAGGAAAGTGGGTCCACGCCGCGTGCGGCCCGCCCCCGGGGAGCCAGCTGCCCCAGAGGCCCCGCTCACCTGTAGAATGGATCCACGATGGAAATGCGGAAGATGTATATCCCGTTCCGTTCGTGAAAAAGGACCTTGTTTGCAGTCGGGCCTCCCAGGATCTGGTACGGGACATCCGGCCACCTCAAGGGGGCGTGGTTGTTGGCGTCGTGGCAGCTCACGTAGTTCTGGGGAAAAGGACAGAGGGACGCCCACCTTATTCGGGTATAGGGTCTTTATAGGGGTAATAAGGATACTTAAAAATGGCTACGATGGTCAATTTAATGTTCGTATTTTACCACACACACAAAAAAGTCCTTTGGGAGTTAAAAAGAAAAAAGACAAGACTGGGCCACATAAAGCCCATGTGGACGAGAAATGAGCGGTCGCTTAGCCGGGCGACCCACCTCTGCTGACAGAGCCGGCCCCGCCTCGGGGTCTTCAGGGACTAAGCGACTGGGCCTACAGTCCATCCAGTGGTGCGCTCAGAACCGAGGGGTTGCGCTCTAACTTGGTAGGAAGAAACCGTATGTTCTACAAAACTTTCCCTCCCCAGGGCTGATGAAAGAAAAAACAGTAACGGGACAATCTCTTAAACGCAGCCGGCGCGCTGCTTTGAGCCCGAGAGCCTGTAAAAAGCATGCAAGTGCAGCCCCCGGCACGGCCGTGCAGTACTGATTCGACAAAGGCCACACAGGTGTCCACACAGGGGTGGCGCTCCGTGGGATCCGGGGAGAGGTGCTCGCGCCACACTGAACGTGCGAGATGCCGGAGTGGGCGGCCCCCTTTGAAACGGTTCGTTACGAGTCGGTGCACGCGGGCGGCGAGCGCCACCTGTTGGCGGCGCCGTGTAAGCGCCCTCGGCTTGGCGCAGCTGCNACTCGTAACGAACCGTTTCAAAGGGGGCCGCCCACTCCGGCATCTCGCACGTTCAGTGTGGCGCGAGCACCTCTCCCCGGATCCCACGGAGCGCCACCCCTGTGTGGACACCTGTGTGGCCTTTGTCGAATCAGTACTGCACGGCCGTGCCGGGGGCTGCACTTGCATGCTTTTTACAGGCTCTCGGGCTCAAAGCAGCGCGCCGGCTGCGTTTAAGAGATTGTCCCGTTACTGTTTTTTCTTTCATCAGCCCTGGGGAAGGGAAGTTTTGTAGAACATGCGGTTTCTTCCTATCAAGTTAGAGTATAATCTCCGTTCTGGGTGCGGCGGGAAGCACGTCTGCAGGCCCGGAGGTGGGCCCGGCCCGGACACCGACGCTGCCGTCACGGTGGCCTTGGGCCCCCGGCCTCCGGGACCGCGGGGAGCGGGCGTCTGCGGTCGCACGGCCCTGATCTGTGGTGGGGGCACAGGAGCCGCAGCGCACGGAGCCCGTCCCCGAACAGTGGGTGTGACCAGCGGCCGCCACCTGGCCGCCCACGACGTGTCGCCGGGACCTCTTGTGGGAACGGAAGGCGGCCTTACCTCCCGGTGCCAGGCCGAGCGCCCCTCGCCGCCCGCGGGCTGCATGACGGTGGTCCAGTTCTGCGGCTGGGCCCTGCAGAGCGCGCTGCGGGCGCTCAGGGAGTACGTGTACGTGAACAGCCCGTTCACCTCCAGCAGGACGTACTCCGTGTGGACCACCTCCTGGAACTTTCCTTTCCGCCACCTGGGACACACACAGGGCTCGGCTGCAGAGAGGTACAGCCGCCCCCACGCGTTCCGAGACCATCTGGGGATGGCGGGGGGCGGCAGAGCAAGACGGAGCTCCCCCGCAGCCCGGTGGCCCCACGGGGCTCCACATGTGGACACCCCAGGACAGGTGGGATGAGCCGGCAGAACAGGGGTGGGGGGAGCAGGCAGCGGTGTTTTCGACCAAGTGGCCACCATGAGCGGAGGCTGGAGGACCCTGATATTCTATAACTGAATAATGTCACTTGTAAAGAAACTGATGAATTACACAGCATCTAAACCAACAAACAGGTAAGACCCCTCGCCACCTGTCCTGTGAAGTCCTTCTGATGACATCTGCGGACATTCAAAGGGGACAGAGTTAGGGCTGTTCTAAAGCATTGTTTTGGTGCACAGTCTGTGGCCTCCAGCACAGTGGGGGCTCCCGCCCCTCCTGGGATTGGACCCTCTCTCCCTGACCTTCCCTCCAGGCCAGCCTGCATCGCACCACAGGGCAGCTCTGAGCTGGGGATTGGCCCTTGGAGCCGGGCTCAGTCCTGTGTGCCCAGCCCACAGTTCTTTCCCAGCACGGGATGAAGGCCAGGTGGAACTAAGATGCAACATGGTAATGCACCTAAATGTTTACAGGTATGAGGCAGTTCCTGCCATCAGTAAGTCAGTCAACACCTATCTAGTCTGACAATATCTGCTGTGAGTGGGGGCAACAAATGGGGGAGCGGGGGGTGGGCACGGGCCTACAGGGTTTATGTAAATTAATGATCATTAAATAAAATGGAAAGGCATGTTCGTTGGGCGCACTGGCCACATGTCCAGTGCTCAGTAGCCCTGAGTGGTTCTGGGCTGCCGACTGGGCTTTGCAGAATTACGGGACATTTCTGTCATCACAGGAAGTTCCATGGGGCAGCGCTGGGCTGGGGCTGCAGTAGGGTCGCTTCACCCCAAGGTGGATGGTCCTGGCCGTGCTGCCCGAAATTGGTTGGCTCTGCTGGGTCAACCACCCACAGAAATGGAGGGATTCCACGTAGAGGTACAATGAAGGAAGGCAGCAGAACTCATGGGAGGAGCAACATTAGTGTTATGGGCTGAACTGTGCCCCCCCAGAGATGCCTGCCTACAAGGAAGCCCGAGCCCCAGCGCAACTGTACTCGAGGTGGGGCCTTAGGCTGAGGGACGTCATAAGGGTGGCCGGTGATCTGAGAAGCTCCCGCCCCCCCACCTGTGGGGACCCAGGGAGAAGGTGGCCTCAGGGGAAGGCACGCCCGCCCATGCCTTTATCTCGGACCTCAGCCCTCCAGAGCTGAGGCAGCGTGGGAGGAGCAGGGCCCCCGGTGTGGGTGTGCGGGAGTGGGGCTGGGGTCTCACATCTCCACCACGGGCTTCCATGGGGTGTCGTAGTAGACGAGGTCGGGGCAGCCCAGCCTGTCGTACGGGTAGTGCACCACCTGGTCCTTAGTGGCCTTCTGCCCCCTGAAGTTGGGGTCGTAGGCGTCCCTAAGCAGACACGGGAGCAGGGAGGTAGGAGGGGGGCATCGGAGCCGTGGTCGGATGGCCCTGGCCCCCCTGGGAAGGTTAAAGCAGTGGGTCCGCCTGGCTGCCCCATGGGGCATGGGTGTGTGGCCACACACTGTTCTGGATGTTTCTGGGAGGCTGGTTTTGGAGACGAGATTAGTATTTAAATCAGTGAACCCTTGAGGAGAGGAGAGTGCCCTCCTTAAGGTGGGCACCTGGCAGAGACAGACGCCAAGAGATTCTGCCCCCGCGGCCTTGGGGCTCCAACTGCCTCCCTCCCCTCAGCCTGCAGCATCTTCCGTCAGACTGCGGGCTTACCGACCCCTGCGACCCTGGCTCCTTAAGGGAAGTCTCTCTCTCTGCGTCTGCCTGTCCCCGCCCCTCCCCCACTCTCTCTCCTTCACACGCACACACTCGCATCCTGTTGATTCTCTTTCCCTGGAGCCCCTGACGCACACGCCTTCCCACAGTGGCACCTGGGACCCCCAGCACTGTATGGAGGGCCACCTGGTCCCTACCCCCTGCTGCCTTGGCTGAGAGCACCTGGCTAACTCCACTAGCTCAGGTGCGCAGGTGGCCGTGCTCTGAGGGCTGGTGGCACGCTGGCGAGGTGTCAGAGGTGGTCCAGTGGACGGCTGAGCCTGGGTGGGGGGCTCTGCCACCTCCCCTTCCTGGAGATCAATTTAAAAGCTATTCTCAATCTGCCCCTGGCGGTGGAGTGCGGGACATGGGAGGGGGTGCTGAAGGGAAACCCCTGGCTCACCTCTCAATGACGTAGCTGTAACTGTCACTCAGGGCCATGGTGTCCAGAATGCCCTTGTAGCAGGCCGAGACCTCCCTGTGAGCAAGAAGGGATGGTGAGAAGCTGCCTGACGCCACCTAGAACTGGGTACTCGGGCATGTTTCCTTTCGGCATTTCGAGCCCCACTGGTTTGATTTTTGAGCCCCTTCTCACTTTCTGGTTCAAGATGCTCCAGTCTGGTCTGGTGTCTTCCCCGCCCATCCCAGAACCAGCCACTTCTCCAAGGAACCTGAACCCTTGTGGTGACACGGCATTAGAGAGCCAGACCTGGGCGCTGGGGGCCCTAACTCTTCAGACAACCGTCTCCTGGTCCTTCTTTGTTCCCATCCGAGCACGCATTCTTCAGCAGCATGGTCTACTTTGGCCTGACTGGGAATTTGTTAAGACTACAACCATGCTAGGCATGTTGTTTTCTGTTTTATTTCACATCCATGTTGGTGCAATAATCCACGCAGGGACCTAACTCTGCCTTGCTTTTTCTTCACAGCTGTGGCGGTGTTCATTGCATCAAAGGACTGTGACCTGCTTCCCCTTCCTCCGCTTGCTGGACGTGTGGGTTGGCGTGCTTCCAGCTTGGAGCGATGAGGAAGGATGCTGCCGAGAGCATTCTGCAAACCGTGCCTCTGCAAATGTGCTGAGTGGAATTGCTCAGTTGGAAGATGCGCTTCCCCGGAGCAGCCGAGAAATGAGTCCACCTCCCAGCAGTCTGTGAGTTCCTGAGGCCGCCAGGGGAGCCCCATGCTTACCAGGACTTGTTCCCGGCTCGGCTTTGGGGACTTTCCCACGTGGGTGGATGGACAAGGGTCTCTAGTGAACGTTTTCATTGCTTTTTCCGATTAACTGAGGTTGACCACATTTTTGGTACCACTTGGGCTTTGTTTTCTCATTCTTCCTCCTTTGGGAGTGCCTGTTCAAGCCTTTTGCCCATTTTTTTTCCTACTAGTGTGTCATTTAAAAAAATTACTGATTTGAGGAATTCTTTGTAAGTTCCTGATCTAAATCCTTTGTTTGTTACACATGTGGCAAATAGCTTCCCTATTCTCTGTATGGCAAAAGCTTTTTTTAATGTTGTTTTAAAGAAGCGTTTCCGGCACATAGGTCTTAAATATGTAATTGACTTATTCGACAGGGTGTTGCCATCTGAGAGCAAACATCTGGTAAAATCATGGCCTGAGGTCACCGTGGCCTTGGAGGGGCAGAGGGCAGAAGGGGGCTCCTGCTGGGCCCCAGGAGCCATGGTTAGAGCTTCAGGAATTTCGTGAGTGTGCGGGTGGCTTTTCAGCAAGGATGAAACCAAAGCCCCTTGTTTCGGGTTGCCCCCACCGCCCCACTTCTCCCCGGACCCCACCCCGCTGTGAGCTCACTCACTTCCGGATGACGATCTCTTTCTCGTGGTCGCAGCCCACTGAGATGAGCGCCGTCTGCGGGGGAGGGGACAGGGATGCTGGCTGGGACCCGCGAGGGCTGCCGACAGCCCGGCCATGGCGAAAACCCACGTAGGGACACACTCACGCCTGGAGGGATTTAGCACAGCGCCTGTGGACCCCACCACGGTGACCCCGGGGCCTGAGAGTCACTGTCACTGTGCCTGGCCCCGTGGAGAGCATGCCCGAGCCGAGGGGTGCAGCTAAGGCCCCCATGGCTGGCCTACCTCGCAGCAGCTGCGCAGAGACTGGAAGCCAGTCTATATGAGCCAGGACAACGCTTAGCATATGGAGGGCAAGGAGGGAAATGAATGAATGAATGGGCTGCAATGAGCAAAAGCAGGAGGAGAGAGAGAAAGAATGATTTTGGGTCAGGCTGATGGCCTTAGAGACACGCTGCTCAAACGGTGGGGGGGGGTACCTCAGAGAGACGCAGGGCCTAAAAGCCACAGGACAGAGACTTTTGAACAAGAGCTTTACATTGAGACAAACATGGCTTTACCATGAGACAGAATGCAAGACTCAAATCAACTTCTTAAAAATTGAAGTAAAATACCCATGACATCAAATGCACCATCTTCACCGTCTCCCAGTACGCAGCTCCGTGCAGCTGTCCCCACCCCAACCCCCAGAACTTTCCCTCCCCACAAGCTGACCTCTGTCCCCTGAAGCACACTCCCCACCCCCTCCCCCTGCCCCCACCCCCACTTTCGGTCTCCGTGGATGCGGCTCTGCTAGGGATGCCCTGGGAGGGGGATCAGACAGGGTGTGCCTGTTGTGTCTGCTCATGTCACTGCGCAGCGTGTCCTCGAGGTCCACCCACGGTGCACCAGGTGTCAGGGGGTCCTTTCTTTTTCAGGCTGAGCACTATTCCCGCACGTGGCTGGACACCCTGCATACATCCATCCCCCGTCCACGGACACCTGGGATGCCCCCAGGTCTGGGCTGTTGTATGGGATGTAGCTGAGGAGGCATGTGCCCAGGTTTTCAGGGGGCTGTGTGTTGTTTCTGGGCCCCTTGCGGGCACTGAGGAGGGCTTTTACCCCAGTTGGCCGGAGGCTGTTCAGGGGATGCTCAAGAAGGACCGTGGACTGACGCACCTGACGTGAGGTCAGGGAGTCACGGGGGGCAGCCCTGGCAAGGGGACCGTGATGGAGGAGGGGCAGGGAGCCTGGCAATCGGGACAGGATCACTTCCATTTCCCGATCCTGAACTGGGGCTTGGCCGGCCCCTCAGCGAAAAGCCCCCCAAGGCCCACTGCCATTATTCTTAACACGAGCCACGAAGAATATGGGACAGCACAAGCTTGGGACATACCAGTGGCTTGAGGTCCACACAGGAAATTTCCTTGTCGTCTATGTCCAGAGAGATGGTGGACATTGTGGGTCTTTTTATGCTGCAAAGCAATGGGGGTGTTATTGTATTGCACACCAGTATTGCAGTAAAAAGCGTCATCGACCCATCCACCCATCGTCCATCCCCCCATAGCCATCCCCCCATCTATCCATCACCCATTCATTGCCTACCCATTACCCGTCCATCCAGCCGTCCTCAGCCATTCATTCCGGCATTTCGGCGGAGAACCTCTGCTCACACATGGCAGCCCTGCTCTGCCTCTAGTTTCTACCTCTTCTCAAGTCAGTTTTGCTAATGGTTTATAACAACTTATTGCCAAGAACACCTGACAGCCTATTTTACTATTACCTAGCTGTAGCTGATGCTTTTTTGTTCTCTTAACAGCTTCTGCATCCATACTTTCTTCTTCATTTCCCATCCCTATGGTTCGTTTTCTCTTTCTCCTGCAGGATGGTGGGGTGTGGTCTACTACACGGGTCTGAAGAATGAACTTTATGTTTTGTTTTGGCTTTACGCTGTCCTTTGCCCTCTATTTAATACGTTTCTGATTGTACCACTGTTCACTCCCTTCCCACAATTCCTTGTGGCTGTTTCCCTGGTTCCCTAAGTTCAATACTGGCTCTTTCCCTCCAGTCCATTTTTTCCTCTCCGAGTAAAAGTGCTTGGGGTACAAATTTCCCTCTCAGTATATTGTAGCTATTCCATGATTATTTCATACAGGGGTGATTTACAAGGTTGTTTCTGAATTTCCAAGTGGATTGTTGTTATTGGTGGTGAGTTTTTGATGGTCATGTTCTAGTTTTACCAGATTAAGTCCTGAGACCATGGTCTGAACATCTCTACTAGGACTCATTCTTTTAATGGCCAAGTACATGAATACTTTAAGGATTTTTAAATAAACTCACCGTGGGAGAGGAACATACATTCTACATTAGCAGCATACAATGTTTTTTTTTTATAACTTTTCATTTATATATTTTTTCAGCTTCATTGAGGTAAAACTGACAAATAATACTATAAGATATTTAAGATGCACAGCATGATGACTGGCCCAGGTACACTTGTAAGAGACTCCCTGTCGAGTTAATTACCTCATCCATCACTTTCCATAGTTAACTTTTCAGGTGTGTGTGAGAACATTTCAGTTTTTTTCTTAGCAAATTTCAGCTACACAATGCAGTGTTTAGGTCTATCTATAGAATTATAACATATTTGTGGAAATAAATGCTCTAGGGGCCTCCTAGGCGTGGCACCAGCAGGATCTGTCCTTCTGCATCTGGCTTATTGCACTGAGCACAGTGCTAAGGTCCATCCGCTCTGGGACAGCAACGTCCCCCCCTTATTAAGGCTGAATAATGTTCCGGTGTGTGCGTGGACATACTGTGTGTACCCGTTCATCCGCGGCTGCTGGGTTATTCACATATTGTGGTGGCAGTCGTGAAGCATGCTACTGTGAGCGTGGGCTGCGTGTATCTCCTTGGGTCCCTGACTGCAATTTTTCTGCCACAGGCCCAGAAGTGCGATTGCTGGGTCCTGTAGTTATTCCATGTTTAATTTCTTGAGGAACCACCATTTGTAAAGGATTTTTGCTTTACCATCCTGGGAGGGAAGGACCAGACCTCAGCCCTGCTTTCCCCAGCCCCTGCTGAAGGAAGGCATAGACAGCCCAGGCCACCCACCACTGGCCAGGTGACCACATACTCGGAAGTGAAGTTGGCGTCAGCCCTGCCACAGAACTGCTGCTGCCTCAGGGAAATGTTCTGTGGAACAGGAGAGAAAAGCCTGCCTGACCTGGTGGAATAGCCTGAAGCGGGCTGCAGGGAGAGGTGGACACGGGGCTGCCTGGGAAAGGCTTCTAGGCGCTCACAGAAATCACTGTCCCAAGTTGATTTCATTGCTACGTTTGTCCTGGGGACCCAGAGTTAGGTGTGACTTTGTTCCCCCTCTTCTTCAGCTGGGGTATGACAGGCCTGGCTGTGCCTGTGGTCCGCCTGTGCCCTGACCCCTGGGCTTGCCAGCTAACACAGGTCCAGCACCCTCCCCAGGGCTGGTGAGGCTCCCTGTCATGTCCTCGGGGCCTCTCTTGTGATACCTTACCGATGTCACTCATCTGGGTGATGGCCACCAGCCTAGGCGGGGCTGGGCCAGGGCCAGGTCCCCCCAAATTCTGAAGCAGCACACCCAGGGGTGTGCAGGGCAGCAAAGGTGGAAGAAGGGTCCAGTCAAGGGACGACAAGGTGGCCACTCCTGACCTGGCCAGGCAAGGCCACGCCCTTCACCACACTGACCGGATTTGGGGCCAGGGCCCTGCTCACCATTCTGTGCATGGTCCTCCCGTCGTACCTGTAGCCGTCTTCGTACATGATGGCATCCTGTATCCCCAGGGAGTGGGGGTTGCTCAGCATTGGCTGGGGAGGGGTTGGGAGAAGCGTACACTGCACAGCGCTGGCAGGTGCCAAGGGGCGCCACAAGGGTCATACCCACCAGTGACCACAATAAAGCTGCTCGTGCAGCTGCCAGTCTGGTCCCCAGGTGTGTCCCCACCTCCCCTACCCACCGACCGAGGCCATAGAGCCCCCTTTTGCAGACGGCGTGGGGCTGCACAGTTGCCAGACCCAGGCCCTCCATGGAGCGCAGGGAGGCCTGGAGGCCCAGTGAGACAGCACTGGAGACGAGCCAGAGACAGCTGGCATCCCCATGCGGGCCCTGGTCCTGGCTGACTGGCCTCCCCAACATCCTGACCCCCATGGCCCCCCCTTTGCAGCTTGACTGCTTGTGTCCAAGAGTTCAGGCTGGACACTTGGATTTCAGGCTCACAGACCCCCAATCTTTGCGGGCACCTCCGCTGCAGTGAGGGCAGGATGGGGCAGTCGGGCTCTTGGCTGGAAGCCACAGAAACCGGCTGTGGCTGAGCTAAGACATGAAGGGGATTCTGGAAAGCATGTGGGCGGGCGCCTTGGAGGGCAGGGAGCCAGGGGCAGAGGTGGTCCCCGCAAGAGGTGGCCAGACAGGTTGCGACCAGTTGAGAGAGACAGAGAGAGACAGTTTCTACGTGTGTCACGAGGTCGGGGTCCCCCCACGGGAGGGTGCCTGGGAACTCCCAGAGCCTCGGAACCATGGGCCACGGGCCTGAGGCCCGGGAGAACACCACTTACATGAAAGCTCCTCAAACCTGGCGGTGTCCTTACCAGCGGCACTGGTGACGTGCCTGCCTTGGGAACCATCAGCGCTGTCAGCTCCAATGTGCCGTTCATGTCAATGGTATACATTTTGTCTGCAAAGTCTCCTTCCAGAAGCTCTACCTGGTTAGAAGGGCAAAAAAGTATATAATAACAATGGTGAATACATTAAATCAATCCTCTGTTCCCCAAAAGGAAAGGGCAAGGAGGTGGGAGGTGGTCAGTGGTCCCCGCAAAGGATGGAAGCTTCCAGTCTCGTAGGTGGGGAAGCACATGACCCCAAGAGGGCTCTCGAAGCACCCACCACACCCTGCAGCCCCGGCTGCCTTGGGAGGGAACTGCGGCCCTGTGTTTCTTTCTAGAGTTACCACCGGGCATGTGCCCCTAGATGGCATCACTGCCCGGATCCGGACACTGTCATGTCTTATTGTTTTTCGGTCCACGGGCTCCCCCACCACCCCTGTTCTCGCTTCTGTTCATTTGTGAAGAGCCCAGGTGTTGGGATGCGTGGCTTTCCCGGGGCCTGGATTGTCCTGGTGCAGTTGGGCACACTCCCCTGGGCCCTGCGGTTCCGGCAGATCGGTGGCTGGACCGTCAGGTTTGGGTCGGATCCCGTCGACAGGACCCCATGGGATCCCGACCACTGCTGGCGGCAGGCCGTGGCTGGCTGGCTTTCTGGATGCGGAGGTTGCCATGTGGCAATATTGTATCATTTTGTTTCCCTGTGTTCCCTGGATTGATTTCATAGTGTAAACGTGGATAAAAGGAGTTAACGTGGACTCTATTCAGAGTAGACTAACTAGAGTTGGGGGGGCCATTAGGGAGATGGGGTCTGTGCACCCCCTCTTCTCTAACTGGTCTCAGAAGAACGGTTAAACTTTGTGTTCTGTCACACCTTCGACATCTGCTTCCTGACACGCTCTCCTCCCCCTAGCTTACTGCGTTGTGGGAATACAGCACGAATACACACATCATACAAAATACATGTTAGGCGATGCTTTGCCTTATTGGGAAGGCTTCTCGTCAGCAGTAGGCTATTCATGGTTAATTCTGGGTGGAGCCCAAAGTTATACGTGCATTTTCAACAGCGTTGGGGGTGGTCCCAGTACCTCTGACCCTCATGTTGTTCAAGGACCAACTGTACTTGGAAAGGGGAGTCGTTCTTTTAACAGAATCATTTACTTTATTCTCTCTGAACAATTCTGAGGGGTGCTTGTTACAAAGAGCCTCTAATAAAGATGAAATATGTTTCTGTGTGAAATAAGTGATGCAAAACTGTACAAGGTGAGAAAAAATTGTACAAGGCAGGGGGCCAGCCCTCTGGGGCCTGGTGGTGGCTGTCTGAGTAACTTGTTTATGTGAGATTCAAACCTAACTGGGTTCTCTGGGTTTAACAAATCCGGCAACCCTGCGTGGAGCTCCATGTGTGGGTGCTGCCTCCAAATGCCCACCTCTGGGTCTCTGCGATTTACTCTTTTTTAAGAAGAGTGCCTTGAACGCTGGTCTAAACCGTAACGATTAAATACCTTGCAAACGTCGACGTGCAGGTCCATGAGAATCGCCTGAACATTCACGAGGCACTTCTGGAAATCAAAAGCTGGAAACACCAGATCGGGCACCGGAGTCAGTATTTCCAGCATCCCCACGTCCGTGAACATCAGGGCTGCCTCCTGGGACCACATGTATTGCTTCGGAAACTAGGAGAAAAGTGATTTGTGAGCTAAGTCATTCTAGTTGTTTTGAGGATTTAAATGTTATCCTGCGGCTCAGGCTTAAAGGTGGGAGGACAAACAGGAAGTAAGCGCGGTGATAGGGAAGCTTGGCTGAGACGCCTGCCCCCCTGTGTTAGGCATCCCTCCCGCGGTGATTAGATGGACAATCCCCAAGGAGAGGACACCTGGGCGGGAGGGGGAGTGCGGGGGAAGCAGGCCCGGAACACACCCCCGTCACCCGGGAAGAGAGTCCTGAGCGAGCCCCACCGAGGTGAACCCTATTCTGTTGGAGGGTTGGTGGGGTGGCTGGGATGCTGGCAGGAAAAGCTCTGCATCAGCTAGTCAGGACCCCAGGGGAACGTTTCTGGCTTGGGCACTAACGAGTTACAGGAAAAAGAGAAAAAGCTGGAACATCAGTTTTTTTCTCCCTCCTAAAAAGCTGGATATTATCTACTTCATGCGGTTTTGTGACGATGACGAAATAATATTAGATAAGCGTGATGTGCAAGATAATGTGAGATAATCCCAGTGCCAACACTTTCTACGTATGTGACCTTGGGGACACTGTATGATTCTGTCCAGTGGGGACAATATAAGGTTCCACGTCTGCCATGGACATACAATGGGGAAATGACAGCCTCTTCAACAACTGGTGTTGGCAAAACTGGACAGCTACATGCAAGGGAATGAAACTGGATAATTGTTTAACCCCATACACAAAAGTAAACTTGAAATGGATCAAAGACCTGAATGTAAGTCATGAAACCATAAAACTCTTAGAAGAAAACACAGGCAAAATCTCTTGCATGTAAACATCAGCAACTTTTCCTGACCACACCTCCACGGGCAAGGGAAATAAAAGCAAAAGTGAAGTCATGGGACTACATCAAACTATAAAGCTACTGCACAGCAAAGGACACCATCAGCAGAACAAGAAGGCCTCCTACAGTGTGGGAGAATATGTTCAAAAATGACATGTTTGATAAGGGGTTAACATCCAAAATACAGCAAGAACTCACATGCCTCAATACCCAAAAAGCAAATAACCTAATTAAAAAATGGGTGGAGGCATGACGGACCCCACAGAAATACAAATAATTATTAGAGAATACTATGAAAATCTATATGCTAACAAGCTGGAAAACCTAGAAGAAATGGACAACTTCTTAGAAAAATACAAGAATGACAAAATCTAAACAAACCAATTACCAGAAAAGAAATTGAAGTGGAAATCAAAAAACTATGCAAGAACAAAACCCCCGGGTCAGATGGATTTACCTCGGAATTTTATCAGACACACAGAGAAGACATAATACCCATTCTCCTTAAAATTTTCCAAAAAACAGAAGAGGAGGGAATACTCCCAAACTCATTCTATGAAGCCAACATCACCCTAATACCAAAACCAGGCAAAGACCCCACCAGAAAGAAAACTACAGACCAGTATCCTTCATGAACATAGATGCAAAAATACTCAACAAAATATTAGCAAAGCAAATTCAAAAATACATCAAAAGGATCATAGACCATGACCAAGTGGGATTCATCCCAGGGATGCCAGGATGGTACAATATTCGACAATCCATCAACATCAGCCACTGCATCACCAAAAAGAAGGACAAAAACCACATGATCATCTCCATAGATGCTGAAAAGGCATGTGACAAAATTCAACATCCATTCATGATAAAAACTCTCAACAAAATGGGTATAGAGGGCAAGTACCTCAACATAATAAAGGCCATATATGATAAACCCACAGCCAACATCATACTGAACAGCGAGAGGCTGAAAGCTTTTCCTCTGAGATCTGGAACAAGACAGGGACGCCCACTCTCCCCACTGTTATTTAACATAGTACTGGAGGTCCTAGCCACGGCAATCAGACAAAACAAAGAAATACAAGGAATCCAGATTGGTAAAGAAGAAGCTAAACTGTCACTATTTGGAGATGACATGATATTGTACATAAAAAACCCTAAAGACTCCACTCCAAAACTACTAGAAGTGATATCGGAATACAGCAAAGTTGCAGGATACAAAATTAACACACAGAAATCTGTGGCTTTCCTATACACTAACAATGAACTAATAGAAAGAGAAATCAGGAAAACAATTCCATTCACAATGGCAAAAAAAAAAAACAACCTAGCAATAAACCTAACCAAGGAAGTGAAAGACCTCTACCCTAAACACCATAAGACACTCTTAAGAGAAACTAAAGAAGACACTAACAAATGGAAACTCACCCCATGCTCTTGGCTAGGAAGAATTAATATCGTCAAAATGCCAAAAGCAATATACAGATTTGATGCAATCCCTATCAAATTACCAACAACATTCTTCAATGAACTGGAAGAAATAGTTCAAAAATTCATATGGAAACACCAAAGACCACGAATAGCCAAAGCAATCCTGAGAAGGAGGAATAAAGTGGGGGGGATCTCGCTCCCCAACTTCAAGCTCTACTACAAAGCCACAGTAATCAAGATAATTTGGTATTGGCACAAGAACAGAGCCACAGACCAGCGGAATAGAATAGAGACTCCAGACATTAATCCAAACATATATGGTCAATTAATATATGATAAAGGAGCCATGGACATACAATGGGGAAATGACAGCCTCTTCAACAGATGGTGCTGGCAAAACTGGACAGCTACATGCAAGGGAATGAAACTGGATAATTGTTTAACCCCATACACAAAAGTAAACTTGAAATGGATCAAAGACCTGAATGTAAGTCATGAAACCATAAAACTCTTAGAATAAAACATAGGCAAATATCTCTTGTATATAATCATGAGCTACTTCTTCTTGAACATATCTCCCCGGTTATGGTAATTAAATTTAAAATTTATTATTTGGTTTTTTTTTATTTTAATAGTTTTTTTTTTTTTAATGTTTTCTTTTATTTTATTAAATTTTTTTTTTATTTTTTGTGATTATATTTTTTTGTTTTATATCCGATAATGGGTTGACATCCAAAATAGATAAAGAGCTCACGCACCTCAACAAACAAAAAGCAAATAATCTAATAAAAAATTGGGCAGAGTAGCTGAACAGACAGTTCTCCAAAGAAGAAATTCAGATGGCCAACAGACACATGAAAAGATGCTCCACATCGCTTGTCATCAGGGAAATGCAAATTAAAACCACAATGAGATATCACCTCCCACCAGTAAGGATCGCCACCATCCAAAAGACAAACAGCAACAAATGTTGGCGAGGTTGTGGAGAAAGGGGAACCCTCCTGCACTGCTGGTGGGAATGTAAATTAGTTCAACCATTGTGGAAAGCAGTATGGAGTTTCCTCAAAAAGCTCAAAATAGACTTACCATTTGACCCAGAAATCCCACTTCTAGGAATTTACCCTAAGAATGCAGCAGCCCAGTTTGAAAAAGACAGATGCACCCCTATGTTTATCGCAGCACTATTTACAATAGCCAAGATATGGAAGCAACCTAAGTGTCCATCAGTAGATGAATGGATAAAGAAGATGTGGTGCATATACACAATGGAATATTAGTCAGCCATAAGAAGAAAACAAATCCTACCACTTGCAACAACATGGATGGAGCTAGAGGGTATTATGCTCAGTGAAATAAGTCAGGTGGAGAAAGACAAGTACCAAGTGATTTCCCTTGTTTGGAGTATAACAATGAAGCAAAACTGAAGGAACAAAACAGCAGCAGACTCACAGACTCCAAGAAGGAACTAGTGGTTAGCAAAGGGGAGGGGTGGGGAGGGAGGGAGAAGGGGGGGATTGAGGGGTATTGTGATTGGCATACATGGTGTGCGTGTGGAGGGGTCACGGGGAAGACAGTGTAGCACAGAGAATACAAGTAGTGACTCTGTGACGTCTTACTACACTAACAGTCACTGCAATGGGATGTGGGGCGGACTTGATAATATGGGTGAATGTAGTAACCACCATGTTTTCCATGTGAATCCTTTGTAAGAATGTATATCAATGATACCTTGAAAAAAAAAGGGTTCTACTTCTTAAGACGATGGTTAACTTTGGGTTAAATGAGGTAAGAGAAGAAGGAACCATCTGCTATGCTCCAAGCGCTGACCAAGTCTTAGCCATCGTTGGTGTCATTTTAATAACCTTTAAAATCACTATTATGATTACACTTATTAAGCATTAAATTAACATTATTAATTTAATATTAATTGAAATCATTGCTAAAGTATTGCTATCACCATTAAAAATACTATTGCTGTATTAATAACTAGAGCAAGTTCTAGCCTTCAGAGAAGGGACAGGAAGTTTGGGAAGAGGATCGCCATTCCTCACCACCCAGGTAATGACCCTGCTTGGATTTTACCTACTTTGATCAGGGAATTTGACAGGTATCCCAGGTTACCGTAATACAAAGTGTTCTCCCGTGTTAGAACTGCCAGCTGATGTGTATCTATGAAAGACCAAAGACGACAAAACGACAATTGAAATGAAGGTTGTCTCAAGGGACAAAATATTTTTAAAAGAGAAAAAAAGTTAACAAAAGAAAATTCCCCTGAATTTCATCATACAGACCAGGGATAATAATGAGTGTTGGTGAGGCTGTGGAGAGATTAGGACCCTCATACACTGCTGGTGGGAATAAAAAATGGGGCAGCCTCTGTGCCCAGCCGGTGGTTGCTCCAAAGGTGAAGCCCAGAGCTGCCGTATGACCCAGCATGTCCCCTCCTAGGTGTCCATGAACAGAAAGGCCATCTACCCACAAGGAAGGCGGCATGTGAATGTCCACAGCAGTGTGATTCACAGCACCCAGGAGTGGAAGCAAGCCAAGGGTCCATCAACTGAAGAATGGATACACACAGTGTGGTCCAGCCACACCCCCTGCAATATTATGCAGCAGCGAAAATGAGCGGAGCACTGCCATGTGCTGCAGTGTGGACGGATCCTGAACACATGGTGCTCAGGGAGACACCAGACACACAGGTCACACAATGTGTGACCCCATTGCTGTAAAATGCCCATAACAGGCGAATCCACAGACAGAAAGTGGGTTTGTGGGGGCTGGGGCTTGGGGGAAATGAGGGATTACAGGGTGGTAGATAAAGGGGATGACTTTCTTTGTCAGGGGGATGACATGGTCCTAAAGTTGACTGCGATGATGGTGTCATAACCCTGTACATGCCCTGAAAACCCCTGAATTGCACACTTTAAATGGGTGAATTGTACAATATGTGAATTATATCTCAATAAAGCTGTAACAACCGAAAGTCAGCAAATGATTTCTCTGCTTTGCCTGTGTCTTGGTCCGTGTGGGCGGCCGTAGCACAGACTGGGAGGCTCAGGAACAGCAGACATTTACTCCCCATGGACCTGGAGGCTGGAAGTCCAAGGTCAAGGTGCCGCCAGCTTCGGTGTCTGGTGAGGGCTGCTTCCTGGCTCACAGACGGCGCCTTCTCCCTGTGTCCTCATGTGAGGAAGGGGCTGGGGGCCTTATGGGGTCTCTGTTATAAGGGCACTGATCCCATTCACAAGGGCCCCACCCTCGGGACCTAATCCCCTCCCAAAGGCCCAACTCCCCATACCATCACCCTGGGGGTTAAATCTCAACACACGGATTTGTGGGCAGGACACTACCATTCAGACATCAGCAGCCTGGGCTTGGTAGAGGAAGAGATGAGAATGTGAAGGACCAATTAGGAAGCTTCTACTGATGGGGAAAGAGATGATAAATACATGGTACCCGCTCAATTTCCAGAGACCAGCGGTTCTTTAAGGGGCACAGACGATGCTATATGTTTTCAGCAGTTCCATAGTTAATATACATTGTGAGTGTCTCTACTGTCTGGGAAGGGACACCCCAAATCCCTAATAGCGGGTAATTGTAGGAAGCTGGAGAGGGGCCTGGAGTTGGGGGCTGATTAAAGGGACTTTAATTATACTTGTAATTTTAAAAAAACCTTTAAGGGATCATGCATCGTGGGTATAATTATAAACAAATGTATCATTCATTCCTAGGATCTAAATTGATTTTAAATGGATAAAGGGATATAGGTGACAGGAGGCGGGGCAATAACCAGCAAACGGGAAATACCGCCTCTTCAAACATCAAGTGACGTTATGGTCTGCTTTGTGGCATTGTCTGCCTCAACGTTTGCAAGCCTGGAGCTGTGTTAGGAGAACAGCCATACTGGTGAATTTCATCTTTCCTGACTGAACTGGTCAGGAGAGCAACAGGACAATTTACTAGCTAAAAAATCCCGAGGGCGCCATCTGTTACGCATTGCATTGAGTCCCCTCCACAAAAAGATGTGTCGAAGTTCTAACTCCAGGACCTCGGAATGTGACCTTCTCTGGGGACAGGGTTTCGCAGAGGTGATTAAGTTAAAATGAGGTCATGGGGCGAGCCCTGATGTGATATAACAGTGTCCTTATAAAAAGGGGAAGTTTGGACACAGGCACGTGGGGAGATGACGGCCATCTACAAGCCATGGAAAAAGGCTGGGGGACAGATCCTAGTCTGCGGCCTTCGGTAGGAGCACAGCCCTGCTGACATCTTGAGTTCAGACTTCCGGCCTCCAGAACTGAGAGACAATATGTGTCTGTTGTTCTGAGCCACCCGGTTCATGGTACCTTGTCACAGCAGCCCTAGGAAACGCATGCCCAAACGACATTCCATGGGGTCGCAAGAGGGCATCAAAGCTGACGCCCAGTCTTTGCAGAATGCATGATAATTGCGTTTGGGTTTGGTCTGCCTTCGTTCCAGCAGGCCAGCGGTTGATAAGCCAGGTACAAAGCCCGTCTAGGCAGGCAGCTGAGGCTTGGGCACTCACTGGCAGCCACGCCGCGGATGCTGATGTTGGCTTCAGAAATGGAAGAATACAATATGCGGCGTCCTTTCTGCACCACAACGGGTTTGACGAGCTGACCTGTGGGATAATGGAGCAGAATTGTGAGGGCCTGTGCATGGGCGGGGAGAGGGACTCCCACCACCGCCACCCACTGACTCCCACTCTGCCCACTTGGTTCTCGGCGCCAGTGATGAAGAATCAAGGAAGACAGAGCTCGGAGAGGCAGTGTTGTAAAATATCATACGGAACATGCTCAGGTCTAAGAAAACTCAACCCCTGCAACTCTCCTTGGGCTAAGAGCTTGAGGAATGGCTGTTGAGTTTATAAGAGAAATACTTTTTCATTGTCTGGAGGCATGAACAGGGTGGGATGCCTTTTACTACCTGGATAACATATTTAGAGAACTAGACACATTCATTCTGGAATGGGCTCCCAAAATGGGCAGCCAGCCCTGAGCCTTTTTCTTGCACTGGGGTAAACAGCCATGTTCAGGCGACCTGACTGGTGCTGGGCAGCAGGATGCAATTGTAGGTGCTGTTGCAGCCATTCCTGTGTCCAGAGGCCCCTGACAGCGCCCCCTCCAGGGAGGGAGGCCTCCTTCTGCTCCTCTCCTTGTGCTAGGCTGGGGCTCATGTAGCGGGGAAACTGCCAGGATTCTTCAGCTGGGCCAGCCGGAGGTACTGCACATTTCCTGATTTTCCTCTGGCCTGGGAGAAGTTCAGTGGGGTGGCCCTGACCCACATCACCTCCCAGAGCCGCTAAGCTTGGCTGTTGCCAATTCCCAAAACATGACCTGCCATTTCTGGACCAAGGGCTCGAACCCTCTGCCTTAGGCATCCAGGGACTTTCAGAACCTGTCCACATGGCTGTAAGGACTCCAGGAGGCAGGACCTAGGGGCTGTCCACTCAAGTCAGGGCAGCACTGTCCCTGCGTGGTGGGGACACTGCACGGCAGCCCTGAGCCTGGGCCTCACTCACCTTCATTTACGGAAACCAAGAGGCTATTCTCAAACCAGAAGATGAGAAAGCCTCTCTGTCCGGGGACGATGAGGACCTCCAGGGGCTCACTGTAGTTAAAGGGCAGCACAAAGCTGAGGTTCAGGGGGTGGTCCGAGTAGCTGAACTTGGCCTGTGGGAGGAAGACCAGAGTCGTGGGCAGTACAAAGCTGGGTCCGTGCTTCTGCAGACAGGACAGTGCACGTGGGTCCCCCGTTATTCAGACGCCCTTCACGCCTAATCATCTAGGCCAGTGGCTCTCAGTGTGGGGAGATCCCGCCCCCAGGGGACACTGGGTGATGTCTGGGGACATCTGCGGTCATCAGGACCCGGGAGCTCCCGGAATGGAGGGGATGGGGCGCAGCCCTACGTGCCCAGGACGGGCCCTCCCAATAAAGGTGCCATCTGACCGCAAACCCCCCGCAGTGCCGGCACTCCCCACGCGCTCCTGCTCTGGTGGGCCGGGCCCGCGTCGGCACCGTAGCCCTGTGTGTTTACTCGAGCTGACTTCCCCGGGGGAGACCCCGTCTCTCCTCCAGCCGCCTGCACACGCCGGATGCTTTTCCTAGCAGCCTCTCACCTAACTAAGGCCGCTGGCGTATCACAACCCTCCACGGGCTCCTCTGGGGTCAGGTCCCCTTCCCCTGAGTGCCGTCAAAGCTCTTTCTCCCCTGCTGTTTGTGGAAGACCTCCCTGCTTTCCGAGGATGGAATCAAGAACACAGACAGTGTGGCGGGTTTCCAAGGGGTCCCTCCAAGATGCCTGGATCCCTTTCCCAGACGGCACCCCAGGGAGAGGAGGGAAAGAGACTGAGTGCTCAGGGCCGAGGGGGGGTGGCGCACAGGCTGCCGAACGCGACCCGTCCTTCCCCCCCACCGCGGACGCGGGGACCAGGCCCACCCTGAGTGAGTCTGCAGGCCCGGCTCCGCCCCACTGGGGCCCCAACTGGCCGGCCTTGCGCCGCGGGGCCTGAGAAGTGGCCTCTGTCGGGAGCCCGGCTGAGCTGCCAGGCGTTGGAGTAGCCGGTTAAGGCAACAAGGCGAACAGGAAAGAGGTCAGCAGTTCAGAGCGAGGGGACAGAGCAAACCTGAGCCCCTGCTCTGTCCCTCCCTGGCCAACGGGCCGAGCGGGAGGGGCCAGAAGCGCTGAGCCAGAGCGGAGCACAGCGCCTGCAGGACCTTCTCCTTCTGAGAGGCCCCTGAACGGGACGTAACGGAAGGCCACGGACAGGGACCTGGCAACGACGGTGCCCAGGCGAGGAAGGCAAACATGCAGACAGGGAGGCCCGAGCCCTGCGGCATCTGCTTCCCAGCCCGCTGTGTGTGGGCAGAGCCACATTACGGCGCAGCCTTCCTGCCTGCCTGTGTCCAGGCCCCAGAGAAGTCCTGCAGAGTTGGAACCAGGCGCTGGACTCCTCAGCCATTACATTCTTGGGATTTCCGGGGTGGTGGGAGTGTCCCTGTCATTCATGGAGGACTAGGAGGTTCACACTACGAGGGATGCAGGCTGGGAGCAGGACCTGCTGTGATTCCAGAGGGTTGAGGCTTTCACCGCCAGCCATCAGCCCGACCTCCAGAAACTCCCCGAGGCGGGGTCTCCCCAGGGCTTCAGAGCAGCGCCCCGGCTGACAGTGTGCGCAATACCCAGTACTGACTGGACTTAATCTGTTTCTGACTCTCCTTTGTTTTCAGATGCAGTTTACGTGGACTGACCCCTCTTCTCAACTTAGCCTAAGTGCTGTCTCTGAGGTCACAGGTTTCTTGTCCTGGTTTTCTGAGTACACATGAAAATCATCCATAAAAAGACTGGATGCGAGGTATTTGAAACGATCCTGTGCACCCTCTGGGACACACACGCCCCGTCTTGTATTTCGTCCCTAGTGCACAGCATAATGCCCAGCACCCCCTAGACACTACTTGAATATTGCTGCGTGCATGACTGAAGGAGCAGATGAACAGGGGAGAAAGGGGTGGTGGGGGTGGGTATGCGGATGATGTCATTAGGTGGATGGATGGAGGATAGATGGACGGGTGGGTGAGCAGGTGGATGGGCGGGTGGATGAATGGGTGGGAGGGTGGATAGGTGGATGAATAGATAGTGTGGTGGATGGACACATGGACGGATAGGTGAATGAAAAGCTAGATGAATTTCAGATAGGAAAATCTAAGTGTATAAGTCTTAACAAACCTGGCTTGTGGTGAAAGTCACTTAAGCCATTCTTACTGCTCACAGTCGCTCACCTGCCCATGATTGACGAGCAGTGTCCCAACCTGTGACAAGGAGTGGAAGTAGAAGATGCCACCCAAGGTCACGTCCGGTTCTGCCTGTGAAACAATCCAACAGACACTGCGGGTGAGCATGTTCTGAGCCGAAGCCTGACTGCAGACTTAACTCCAGACTCTGTAACAAGCTGAAATGAAGGAAAGTCTTTTTTATTATGCTCAGTTTCCCCTCTTTGGAGCTGCGGCATGTAAGGCAGAACCTCGGGTGAAGGCGGTGTTGGTATGAGCGGGTGGTGTGGCCCTGAGCGCCAGGGGCCTCCCTGCATCCTTCCTTCCTGCCTCGGCTCCTCTGTGCTGATGTTTGGCTGGTCCGCGAAGTGCCCAGCAGGCAAGCTGGATGGAGCGTGAGGCCAAGGCCCCCCAGGACAGAGGGGCAGTTTGCCCCGGCAGCCCAGCGGGCTATCTCCAGACACCTCTCAGGTACGACAGAGGCAGACGACTGTCTTATTTAAGCCTCTTACTATTACCTGGGGCGCCATGGACTGAATCGTGCCTCCTCCAGTCCATATGCCGAAGCCCTAACGCCCTGTCTTGGTCCGTTCGGGGTGCTCTAACAAGCGGCCACAGACAGAGTGGCTGGTAAACAACAGAAATTTATTGCTCACAGTTCTGGAGGCTGGACGTCTGAGACGCCAAGGGTGGCCCACTTCTGGGGCACAGACTTCTCCCTGCGTCCTCACGGGGCAGAAGGGGGCTAGTCATCTTTCTGGGCCCTTCTATAAGGGCACTGATCCCACTCACAAGGGCCCCACCTCCCAATACCATCAGATCAGGCAGGATGGCAAAATACCAGTTTGTGGGGGTCACAAACATTCAGATGACGGCACCCCCGGTGGGATGGTATTGGAGGTGGGGCCTCTGGGAAGCGATTAGGTTTGGATGAGGCCATGAGGGCGGGGCCCCTGTGGTGGGATTAGTGCCCTTACAAGAAGAGACCCAAGAGTGTGCTTTCTCCGCCACGTGAGCACACAGTGAGAAGACGGCCGTCCACAAGCCAGGAAGGGGTCCTCACCAGGAACCTGTCCTGCTGGCACCTTGGTCTTGGACTTCCAGCCTCCAGAACTCTGAGAAAGGAGCAGCTGTTGCTTATGTCACCCCGTCTATGGTCTGCTATGGCCACCCAACCTGACCAGATGGCCAGATGTCCTGGCAGCCTGCCAATCCCCCACCCCCACCCCAACATCGCAGCCCCTCTTCCCTGCTGGCAGAACTCCCAGGGGGCTTTGATCTTAGAGGGTGAATAGTGATGGCTCTAGACCACAGGCTTGGGAACTCCACCCCTTGGCCATGAAACACAGCCACACACAGAGCAAAGACTATTGCACTGACTGGTATGTAAATGATGGCACATTATGGGCGGAATGGGCCTCTTTCTAGGATTTTACCGCCTCTCCCCAGGAGCGCTGTGATTTTCCGGTGGTCCAAATGATGGCTGCACCATGTTGGGTGGAATTCTGATCGTGTCAGGGTCTGTGTTTGAATATTAAGTATGGTTCAAGGAGATGGGTATGGCTGCCCCATTGACAAGGGGTGGACCTGTGGTGGTTAATTTCACATGTCAACTTGACTGGGCTCAGGGATGCCCAGGTAGCTAGGGGAACATCATTTCATGGCCTGTCTGTGGGGGTGTTTCTGGAGGTTAGTGTTTGACTCAGTAGAGCCTGCGAGGTGGACCTGCCCTCACCCCTGTGGTGGGCTCCATCCAGTTCATGGGACAAAAAGGTGGAGGCAGGGCGAGCCCACTCCTTCCCCTGGAACTGGGATGTCCACCTTCTCCTGCCCTCGGACATCAAGCTCCTGGCTCCGGGGGCCTTGAACTTGGGGTCCTGTGCCAGCAGCCCCTTGGTTCTCAGCCCTTTCCCTCGGTCTGAATTAGATAGACAGCCTTCCCGGTTCTCCGGAGGGAAGACAGCAGACTGTGAGACTTCTCTGCCTCCATACCCGTGTGACCCAATTCCTATAAAAAAAAAAACCCATATGGGTTCTGTTTCTCTGAAGAACCCTAATCCAGTTGGGGATTTTAGTGATGATGATTCTCAACCGAGCACAGGTATTAACTCTGGGGCCTTACAGGCCTGGTTTCGAAACCAGGTGCCCACTTCTAGGAGTCACTGGCTTCCTGGGCAGGGCAGAGAAATCATACCTGGCACAGGAGCAGAACTTGAGAGCAGAGTAGATTCTTTCTGCCTGCCTTTAGACATTCTTCCCAAGTGTCTGGGGTGAAGCCGCTCTCTCTGTCGGAATGAACACCCTTATACCTTAGCTACCCAAGGGTCCTGTCCACGTCAGCTCTTCAGATCCCAGCTCTGCCAAGCTGTGTGGCTTTGGCAAAGGCCCTGTGCCTCTCTGAGCCTTCATTCCCATATCAGTTTCCTGGTGCAGCCATAACAAAGCACCCCATGGCTGGTGGCTTAAAATAACAGAGATTTGCTGTCCTGGTGCTGGCAGGGCTGCTTCCTTCCGAGGCCCCGAGGGAGGCAGCTGGCCACGCATGGCTCTTCCTGCCTCTGTCCTCGGCATTCCTTGCAGTGGCATTCCTTCTGGGTGCCTCTGTTGCCCCAAGGCTGTCTTTTCTGTGAGCATCTCTCCGTGTCCCCTCCTTTTCTTACAAGGACACCAGTCATTGGAACAAGGACCCACCTTACACCCAGGATGACTTCATCCAAGCATGACTAATGACATCAGCAAAGACCCTATTTCCAAGTAGGGTGACATTCTGAGGCCGTGGTTGGATGCGAGTTTGGGTTGGGATGACACTTATTCAACCTGGCATAGTTCTGCCATGTGCAAAATGGGGTGGTGATGGTCCTTGATGTTGCTGACCTTTAGGTGGACGTGGGGTTAGGTGTCGTAACTAATGTGCAGATTTTACTACGGCTCCCAGTGTTCCATAAGCACACTCCCAAACCAGGGCTATGACCTGAAATCCTTTCCTAACTTCCAAAGCTCCCTAGCCAGCTAATTAGACCTGCATTTTTCCCTACTCTCCCAGCCACTTGGCTTTCTTTCTAAAGAAAGAAAAGCCCTTGTTCACCCACTGTCACCTAATAACTTGTAGCACACCAGAAAATTATTTTTATGTTCATTTTCTTACCAGTTGAACATACCTGTCTTTTGTGCACAAACTTCTGAAAGCTGTAACCCTGGGTATCCGAGAAATACACATTGGCCTGAGATAGCTGATCTCCAAGCAAATAAGCAAAAACTGATTTGCTTATATCCTGGGAAAAAAAGACACATAAAACAGTCTCTTCAAAAGGAGATGGAGGGGGGTTGATTGGGAGCTGTTCTTTAAGGGTGCACGCTTGCAGCTGGTAGGTAAGTTCAGAGACCAATGTACAGCATCGTGATGGTAGACAGCAATACCGCATTACAAACATTGCTGAGAAAATAGATCTTAATTGTTCCCCATAACAAAAAAGAAATGGTAATTATGTGACGTGATATGGTAGTGATTATATTGTTACAAAAATCTATCAAATTAACACACCCTGCACCTTAAATTTTACACAGCGGTGTCCGTCAATTACATCTTGGTTTGAAAAAATGATGGGGATCTTACTACACTGATGGGCAGTGACTGCACTGGGGTCTGGGTGGGGACTTGATAATATTGGTAAATGTAGTAACCACATTGTTTTTCATGTGAAACCTTCATAAGAGTGTATATCAATCATACATTAATAAAAATAAGTAAAAAAAAAACCATGGGGAAACAGATACCAGTGGTCATACTCCTGGGCATTTATCCCACAGAAATGAAAACTGATGTCTACATGAAAATCTGTGCAAGAGTTCCTAGCAGCCTTCTCTGGAATAGGTCTGAAGTGGACACATTCCAGTTATGGTACATCCATGCCATGGAACATTACTCCGCAATGAAAAAGGAGGTGACCTGCCAATATACACAGCAGACGAGATGAGTCTCGAGAGAATTTTGCTGAGAAAAGCTAGTCCCCAAGGGTTCCCTTTGTACAGTACCTTTCATATAGCATTCTCAAAATGATAAAATTACAGAGACAGGACGGACTAGTGTTTGCCAGGGGTTAGGGACAGCGTGGGGGACAGGTGGCTCTGGGGTGATGGAACAGTCTCATATTTTGATGGCGGTGGTGGATTTGTGATTTTACACAGGTGACAAAATGGCACAGAACAGACACACACGTCCTGTGTAGCCATTCCATTTCCTGTTTTAGTCATGTGCCGTACTTAAGTAAGATGCAACCACTGGAGGAACCTGGACATAGGGCACATGGGACTCTTATTTTTTTCAATTTCCCATAGAGTCTCTGATTATTTCAAAATAACAGGTCAAAAAAAAAAGAGAGAGAGAGAGATGGATATAGTCATAGAGTGTCAGCCAGTCGGTCTGAAGGGAGCTCCAGAGGCTACCCACCTCTCAGGCCCTCCTAGGGGCCCTGGGGAGATGCTGCTGTCCAAGTCCATCGCGGTCCCACCCCTCAGGGCCTAGACTGTCCTGAATTGCTCATATTTGTCTGTGCTCAGAGCAGGGCACAAAATGTCAGACTGCATTCTCTACTCACCAGGCAGGAGGGATTCCCACTGTAACAACAATTATCACCGGACATATGTGAAACAGGGTGTTCTATGCCTGGAAGGAGAAGATGGTTTAACAAAAGATGACTTCCCTGAAGCTCAGAGGAAAGGGTTTCTCACCCTCAGCCCCACGGACATCTGGGGCCCCATCGTCCTCGGTCGTGGGACCGTCCTAGGCGCCCCGTTTGGTGCTCTGCAGATTCCTCCCTCTTTTGACTTGGTGCCAGGAGCACCCCACTCCAGTTTTACAATCGAAAATGTCTCCAGACATTGCCAAGTGTCATCTGGGTGGGGCAGAACTGCCCCCAGTTGAGAATCACTGGCTTTACTGACACTCTTATAGGACCAAGTTAGCCAAAATTGCAGGAAGGGTACCCTTCCCTTGCTTCTATTTTATAAGCTCAGAAGATTTGGTTGTAAAGAAAACAGATATATGGCCAACAGGTAGATGCAAAGATGTTCCCCATATCACTGATCATTAGGGACGTGCAAAGCAAAACCACGCACACACACTAGGATGGCCCTTGTCAGAGGGACACAACAAGTGCTGGCGAGGATGTGGAGAAATGGGAGCCCTTGTGCACTGTTGACAAGAGTGGAAAATGGGGCAGGCACTCTGGAAGACGGTATGGGGGTTCCTCAAAAAACAGAAAATAGAAATGCAGCAACTTCATTTGAGTATATGGCCACAAAAACTCAAAGCAGGCACTCAAGGAGACCTTCGGACACGTATGTTCAAAGCAGCATTATTCACAACAGCTAAAACGTGGAAGCAACGCAAAGGTCCACAGATAAACACACTGTGGTCCCTCCACACACTGGAATATTATTCAGCCATGAAAAGGAAGGAGAGTCTGACACATGCTAAATCGTGGATGGGCCTTGACTACACGGTGCTCAGTGACATAAGCCAGACACCAAAGGGCCGATCCTGTCGGATCCCCCTCCCAGAACGTCCCTGGAGGAGCCCATCCATGGAGACAAAGTGGGCGGTGGGGCCGGGGCTCGGGGAGGAGGGGTTACCTATCTGGATGCTATTAGGAAATATAGGGACAGAGAGAAGAGGAAGGACAGACCAGACTGACTGACAAGGAGCTCTGGTGGCTCCTCAGTAGGTTAAATATGGAGCTGCCATCGGACCCAGAAATTCTGCCCTTAGGTTTGATTACCCAAAGAACTGGAAGCACACGTCCTCCCAGACACTCGTGTGCAAAGGTTCACAGCAGCGCTGTTCCCAACGGCCCAAAGGAGCAGCCGAACCAACACCCGCCAGCTGCTGAACAGAGAAGACATGATCCATCCACACACGGGAACCTCACTCAGCCAACAAGAGGGCTGGAGTCCCGACACGCACCACACCTGGTGCTCAGTGACAGACGCCAGCCCCACAAGGCCATGCGGCGTGTGACCCCATTTCTGTGAAATGCCCAGAGCAGGCAGATCCGCAAACAGAACATGGGCTTGTGGTTGCCAGGGGCTGGGAGTGGGGATGGGGAGCCCTGGGTGGTATCTGGGGACATTTTTGTTGTTAGGACTTGTGGGGGCACTCCTGGCACTGAGTGGGTGGGGCCCCGGATGCTTCTCAACACCCCCCAGTGCCCAGGACGGCCCCATTCCAGAGATGGTCTGGCCCCAAGTGTCAGCAGCACCAGGGCGGAGAGACCCCTTTCTCACGGCGAGGAGCTGTGCTCTCTCCCCCTCCTTTCCCGGAGAGCCCATCCTTCTTTTCTGAAGAATAACACCTCCACTGTCCCCACTCCTGACCTCCTCTCCTTCCTCTCTCCATCAAGCTCATCCTCTCTACTGTTCTCTGGCCCTTTGCGTGGTGTGCAGTACGTGGGGCTGAGTATCTCCGGCACCAGCCTTGTCCCTGTGCAGCCAGGAGTCCTGCTTCTGGACACCTGCTCCCTCGTTTACGTCCATCGTCAAGGCAGGGTTTTGCGACTCATGATCCCAGTCCCCGACGGAAGCATTAGTTTCCCACACTATGGGATGGGGGTGCGGGGGGCCAGGCTAATTTTCATTGGAATGTTCCAGGACAAGGTAGGGCCAAGGAGCTGACATCCAACTCCCAGTATTATTGGAACACCCACAATGAATAAGCTTTTCTCTGCCATTGGCTAAATTCAAACAAGAAAAAAACACACCAAACTCACGTACCTATAGATGCATTCCAGGAATCGGTTTCATAATCATAGACATAGACTTTTCGGTCGATGATAAACAGTAATACTGAACCCGCAAAATGTGCTGCTGTTAGCTCTGGTGTGCCGACCTAGAGATGATGACATATATACCCACCAGGGTCTCTTTTCAGACATCGATCAGAAAGCAGTGCTTCCAGACGCACATCTGAGGAACATTTATGCCAGCAAGAGTTTCGTTCCTGGATCTCGGGAGCTCTGCATCCTGGGGTCAGAACTGGGGGTTGAACCTCAGATTCCTAACTTCACTCCGCTTCCTTCTCCCTTTTCAAGACCACCTCTGAGCATCAAGTCTAAAGTACAAATGACCAGTGGTGAGCAGAACTGATGGGTGGGCCGCTTACGAGAGAAACGGTGTTTCAGCTCACGGCGACGCCTCCTTCCGTGTAGATGCCCAAAGCAGAATTTCTCAGGACGGCTACTGAGAGTTTTCTGGTTTGGTTTAGGACCGATTTAGGGAGGCCCTGAAATTAGGGCATGGGATATATTCATTCATAACACACAACCAATTGTAAGGAGCATTTGAACCAATTCTGTTTCTTTTTTTTAGAAATAAAAAGAAAACTATTTTGATAATAAGGGCAGATTAGAATCAACCCTTCTTTGGGCTTAGAAAGTGCTCTCAATGTCTTTAAGAGGTAGATGGGAAGATAAAGCCCCAAACGAACCAAAACACACCAGTGGTATTTACAAGCTATATTGTTCCCCTGAGTATTACTTGATTCAAGTGTCCCTCAGACTGTTCCGTAGGACAAGTACCTTCATTGATGTAGGGATGGAAAACGGAATGACACTACTCTCAAAGTTATCTCTTGTCAAAAAAACTTGTCGTCTGAAATAAACAGTAAAATAATTAAATTAGGACAATTTCACACGAGAAAAGAAAAAAGACAACGGTGGGCCTCTAATAATGTTCCATTGAAATAGAATTCCCCTGTTAACAGGAATCATCTGGGTTCGATCTGCCTTACCATCCACCTATTTTTGCATGAGTAAACTTCTATAGCCTGGGTATGTGACCTCTTGAAATAACATTATTTAGAAAATGCAATCAACTGTAAAATTATATAAAAATAGACATTAAGTGACAGCTTGCCTTGCTTAGGATGAACTTCAGTTTTGTCATTAAATGGCTCTCATTCCATTAAAGGGTTTCAGACCTTGGTAACCCCAAATGCACACTGACCGGGGCGTGTCCATTCCTTCGGATTTGGTTACCATGACCCCCACCCAACATGAATTCCTATTTCAGAACCCAGTTTGGGCATCCATTCCCCAGTGGAAACTTTCCAGCTATTTTCTCCTCACATACCCCCCAATACGAGTGCTTATATCAAGCCTCTGAGACGGGGGCACCACACTATCCTGTCATTATTTTAGTTACTTGCTGGTCTCTTTAGCTCTTTTCCTCTAATGCCCACCCAACTGTGAATTCCCTGAAGGCCAGCAGCTGGC